TAAGTTTTTATTATGCACTTTTTCGTTTTTTTATTTTTGATTTTTCAATTTTACAATTTGTCGACTTCCAAATTTTCCAATTTTTCAATATTACAATTTCTTATTTTTCAATTTTTCACATTTTCGATTTTTAATTGTGCCCTTTTTCAATTTTCCGTCCCCTCAATTTTTCAACTCCCCTATTTTTATTTTGCATTTTCCTGATTTTTTATTTTGCATTTTCCCGATTTTTGTAATTTTAATTTTCTCGATTTTGTCACAAATTTTCATTTTTTCAATTCCTTTATTTTTTGTGGTTTCTTTCGATTTTTCGCTTTTTCAATTTTTCGAATTTCAGTTTCTCAATTTTTCGTTTCCACAATTTTTCATGTTCCCGATTTTTATTTTTCAGTGTGGCGAATTGTTTATTTTTATTTTCTCGATTTATATCACAATTGTCCATTTCTTCATTTCCTTTATTTTCTGTGTTTTTTTTTTCGACTTGACAATTTTTCACTTTGCAGTTTTTGGATTTCCAGTCTTCCGATTTTCCAATTTCTTTAATTTTAATTATTTCTATTTCATAATACATATTTGTTTTTTTTTTATTTTTCACTTTTTCGATTCTTAAGATTTTTCGAGTTTTCATTTTGTAATTTTTCGATTTTTATTTTTGATTTTTCAATTTTACAATTTCTCGACTTCCAAAATTTTCAATTTTTCGGTTTGCGTCAGCTTTTCAATTTGGCAATTTTTCAATATTACAGATTTTCATTTTTCGATTTTTCAGTTTTCTCAATTTTTATTTTTCATTTTCCCAATTTTTTATTTTCACTTTTTCGATTTTATATCACAATTTTCCTTTTTTTGATTGCCTTTATTTTTTGTTGTTTCTTTCGATTTCACAATTTTTCCTTTATTAAATGTTTCAAATTTTCAGGTTTTTAGCAGTTTTTCTTAAAATTTTCAAGTTTGATTTTCACTTTGTACATTTTTTAAGTTTTTATTATGCACTTTTTCGTTTTTTGATTTTTCAATTTTTCAACTCCCCGATTTTTATTTTGCATTTTCCTGATTTTTATTTTTCATTTTCTCGATTTTACATCACAATTTTTTGTTTTTTGATTTCCTTAATTTTTGTTGTTTCTTTCGATTTTCCAATTTTTCGTTTATTCAATTTTTCAAATTTTCAGGCCAATCGATTTTCCAATATTTAAATTTTTCAGTTTGCAGTTTTTGGGGTCCGCCCGTTGTTTACTTTTTGGATTTTCAATTTTTCGTTAAACTTTAGATTTCTCAAATGTTCGATGTTTTCGATGCATTTTTTCGTTTTTTTATTTTCGATTTTTCAATTTTTCACCTCCCCGATCTTTATTTTGCATTTTCCTGATTTTTTATTTTTCATTTTCTCGATTTTATATCACAATTCTTTGTTTTTTCATTTCCTTCATTTTTGTTGTTTCTTTCGATTTTTCAATTTTTCGTTTATTCAATTTTTCAAATTTTCAGGCCAATCGATTCCAATTCGTCGATTTTCCAATATTAAAATTATTCAGTTTGCAGTTTTTGGGTTTCCACCCGTTTTTTACTTTTTGGATTTTCAATTTTTCGTTAAACTTTAGATTTCTCAAATTTTCGACAGTTTTATACTTCGATTTCTTAATTTTTTTTCAACTTTTCGATGTTTTAATTTTTCTTTTTTAAAATTTTTCAATTTTTCCTTTATTAGATTTTTCAAAATTTCAGGTTTTTAGCAGTTTTTCTTCAAATTTTCAAGTTTGATTTTCAATTTGTACATTTTTTAAGATTATGTTATGCACTTTTTCGTTTTTTTTTTTTTTTTTGATTTTTCAATTTCACAATTTGTCGACTTCCAAATTTTCCAATTTTTCAATAATACAATTTCTCATTTTTCAATTTTTCAACTCCGCGATTTTTATTTTGCATTTTCCTGATTTTTTATTTTTCATTTTCTTGATCTTATATCACAATTTTTTGTTTTTTCATTTCCTTAATTTTTGTTGTTTCTTTCGATTTTTCAATTTTTCGTTTATTCAATTTTTCAAATTTTCAGGCCAATCGATTCCAATTCGTCGATTTTCCAATATTTAAATTTTTCAGTTTGCAGTTTTTGGGTTTCCACCCGTTTTTTACTTTTTGGATTTTCAATTTTTCGTTAAACTTTGGATTTCTCAAATTTTCGACAGTTTTATACTTCGATTTCTTAATTTTTTTTCAACTTTTCGATGTTTTAATTTTTCTTTTTTAAAATTTTTCAATTTTTCCTTTATTAGATTTTTCAAATTTTCAGGTTTTTAGCAGTTTTTCTTCAAATTTTCAAGTTTGATTTTCACTTTGTACATTTTTTAAGTTTTTATTATGCACTTTTTCGTTTTTTTTTTTTTTTGATTTTTAAATTTTACAATTTGTCGACTTCCAAATTTTCCAATTTTCCAATATTACAATTTCTCATTTTTCAATTTTTCACATTCTCGATTTTTAATTGTGCCCTTTTTCAATTTTCCGTCCCCTCAATTTTTCAACTCCCCTATTTTTATTTTGCATTTTCCTGATTTTTTATTTTTCATTTTCCCGATTTTTGTAATTTTAATTTTCTCGATTTTATGTCACATATTTTCATTTTTTTCAATTCCTTTATTTTTTGTTGTTTCTTTCGATTTTTCGCTTTTTCAATTTTTCATGCTCCCGAATTTTATTTTTCAGTGTGGCGAATTTTTTATTTTTATTTTCTCGATTTATATCACAATTGTCCATTTCTTCATTTCCTTTATTTTCTGTGTTTTTTTTTCGACTTGACAATTTTTCACTTTGCAGTTTTTGGATTTCCAGTCTTCCGATTTTCCAATTTCTTTAATTTTAATTATTTCTATTTCATAATACATATTTGGTTTTTTTTTTATTTTTCACTTTTTCGATTCTTAAGATTTTTCGAGTTTTCATTTTGTAATTTTTCGTTTTTTATTTTTGATTTTTCAATTTTACAATTTCTCGACTTCCAAAATTTTCAATTTTTCGGTTTGCGTCAGCTTTTCAATTTGGCAATTTTTCAATATTACAGATTTTCATTTTTCGATTTTTCAGCTTCTCAGTTTTTATTTTTCATTTTCCCGATTTTTTAATTTTCACTTTTTCGATTTTATATCACAATTTTCCTTTTTTTGATTTCCTTTATTTTTTGTTGTTTCTTTCGATTTTACAATTTTTCCTTTAATAAATTTTTCAAATTTTCAGGTTTTTAGCCGTTTCTCTTCAAATTTTCAAGTTTGATTTTCACTTTGTACATTTTTTAAGTTTTTATGGACTTTTTCGTTTTTTGATTTTTCAATTTTTGAACTCCCCGATTTTTATTTTGCATTTTCCTGATTTTTATTTTTCATTTTCTCGATTTTACATCACAATTTTTTGTTTTTTCATTTCCTTAATTTTTGTTGTTTCTTTCGATTTTCCAGTTTTTCGTTTATTCAATTTTTCAAATTTTCAGGCCAATCGATTTTCCAATATTTAAATTTTTCAGTTTGCAGTTTTTGGGTTTCCGGCCGTTTTTTACTTTTTGTATTTTCAATTTTTCGTTAAACTTTAGATTTCTCAAATTTTCGACAATTTTATACTTCGATTTCTTAATTTTTTTTCAACTTTTCGATGTTTTAATTTTTCTTTTTTAAAATTTTTCAATTTTTCAATTTTTCCTTTATTAGATTTTTCAAATTATCAGGTTTTTAGCAGTTTTTCTTCAAATTTTCAAGTTTGATTTTCAATTTGTACATTTTTTAAGTTTACGTTATGCACTTTTTCGTTTTTTTATTTTTGATTTTTCAATTTCACAATTTGTCGACTTCCAAATTTTCCAATTTTTCAATATTACAATTTCTCATTTTTCAATTTTTCAACTCCGCGATTTTTATTTTGCATTTTCCTGATTTTTTATTGTTTCTTTCGATTTTCCAATTTTTCGTTTATTCAATTGTTCAAATTTTCAGGCCAATCGATTCCAATTCGTCGATTTTTCAGTATTTAAATTTTTCAGTTTGCAGTTTTTGGGTTTCCACCCGTTTTTTACTTTTTGGATTGTCAATTTTTCGTTAAACTTTAATTTCTCAAATTTTCGACAGTTTTATACTTCGATTTCTTTTTTTTTCAACTTTTCGATGTTTTAATTTTTCTTTTTTAAAATTTTTCAGTTTTTCCTTTATTAAATTTTTCAAATTTTCAGGTTTTTAGCAGTTTTTCTTCAAATTTTCAAGTTTGATTTTCACTTTGTACATTTTTTAAGTTTTTATTATGCACTTTTTCGTTTTTTTTTTTTTTTTATTTTTCAATTTCACAATTTGTCGACTTCCAAATTTTCCAATTTTTCAATATTACAATTTCTCATTTTTCCATTTTTCACATTCTCGATTTTTATTTTGCGTTTTCCTGATTTTTTATTTTTCATGTTCTCGATTTTATATCACAATTTTTTGTTTTTTCATTTCCTTAGTTTTTGGTGTTTCTTTCGATTTTTCAATTTTTCGTTTATTCAATTTTTCAGTTTGCAGTTTTTGGGTTTCCATCCGTTTTTTCCTTTTTGGATCTTCAATTTTTCGTTAAACTTTAGATTTCTCAAATTTTCGACAGTTTTATACTTCGATTTCTTAATTTTTTTTCAACTTTTCGAATTTTTCTTTTTTGATTTTTTGATGTTTGGATTTCTCCATTTTTGAATTTTGCGATATTTCAATTGTTCAATGTTTTAAATTTTAGATTTTTCGATTTCTGGATTTTTTGATTTTCCAGTTCTGCAGTATTTCTATTTTACAATTTTTCAACAATTTTGACGTTGCTAAATTTTCAGTTTTCCGATTTTTCGATTAATAAAAAAAGCAAATATCAATCAGACTACTGACAGACAGGAAACCAAATCACCAAATCAGTTTATCCAACTTAACGAAAAAATACCAAAGCCTACTTTACTATATAAAGATCGTGAACGGATAATAGTCTAACTTTTTGTGTTTTGCCAGGCTCTACGGAGTGCGCACTTCGACGCCGAGAAGTGGATGACGCAAACCGTGGCCGCCATCTTCGGCAGCGACCTGGTGCCCCCTAAAGGCTACGACCCCGCGCTCGTTTGCAACATGAAGTCGAAACGAATCAAGCTCGAGGAGTGGCACCAGCTGCTGGAACAGAGCTTGGAAGCCGCCAAAAAGTACGCAGAGGATCACCTTTGAAGAAAACATCGGCTACGTTTTTTAATAAACATTTACTTTTATTAAATACATAGTCAACAAGCTTAACATTTAAGCAACATGAAAGTTCGACAAGCACAGAATTTGTCATTTTTTTTGTTATGTTTTTAATGCTGTGGATAATCACATCGTTAAAATCTGGCTAAAAATCGAACAAATAACAATACCAAGGCATTTCTTCGTACTAAATGTCACAAAAATATTTCGCAGTCTTATTGTTTTCCACTATTGATAAGCGCTATGTAAAACGTCAAAAATAATACTTGAACGGCCAGTTCTAAGTCGGTGGAAAATGGCGCCCGAGTAACCGGCGCCATTTTGCACCTAGCGGGGTCGCACTGGCCGCAAAGAAGGCAATGCATTACGTTTCTGGACGAACTTCATTAACTCTAAATGTGGTAAAAATGGTAACGAAAGTGGATGAGGGTCTACAGTCAACCCAACGAAACTACAGCCGCTACGCAACCAAGCAGAATCCAGCCCTATACTCTATTTATTGTTACAGTCTTACCGCTACGTGAGGATAACATACACCTACTGATTATAAAAAAATAATTTAAAAACAATCTTATGTAACTATTAACATTGATGTTTAAATATCTAAAAATCAGCTTACCATTGTTAACTGGCTTGTCAATCAGTGTTTGATTTGTTATTGTTTAAACTACGTTATTGCTCGATTCACAAATTTTCTTTCACCCGAGTTAAATTGAGAAACATGCAAGTTCGTGTCGATTAAACAGAAATCTACTTTTTGTATGAGGAATGCTTACACGATGACTGGATAAGAGCAAAGTTGCTACAAAGTTCCGCTCTGAGTAGGCCTCGCGTTACGTCTCACATCCTCCAGTTGAATGAGCTGCAAAAAGACGGTGAAAACCAGATGGAACCGACAGACCACCGACCCGAGGCTCGAAATTCGACCCAAATGACTATTTTCACTAGTATTCGTAGGGAACAAGTAAATACGAGCTTTTTATAGTTCCGACGTGTAGCAAACTATGTAGTTGAAACAAATTCTTACGGCGTTTAATATATTGTTTACATTGTGACTATCGTTTTTTTATTATCCAGTCACTAAACATAAATGACAAGGATGTAAGAAGGTTGGTATAATAACAAATTCCCCTATGTTGTTTTTAATGAAATATTATTAGCGTTGGCGGCACTGACAAAATTTGTTAAACAAATGACAAGGCGCTTAAACGTCAATTTAAATTAATTTTAACCACTTTCTCTGTTTTGAAAAGACAATTTACTGCGTGCTTAATTGTCGCATTCTTTCGATGTATAAACATAAACGATTGAAGTTAAGCACGTACTGATGATATATTTTTACTTCAGAGGCGAGGGAAGATCTATTTAAATAACTTTAGACTAATTTTTTGCGATTAAAAGAGAAAGTTTTGCAGGCGCCTAGTGTTTTTTTTAATATAAAAAAAATTTCGGGGTCTCTTGTGTTTTGTTTTTAAAATACTTTTAAAAATTCTTTGGAAAGAATTTTCTAGAATCTTAGGAGCTCCTAGCGTCTTTTTTTAATGTGATTTTTCGTTTTTGAAAGAGAAATAAAAATACTGTTAAAACCGAAAAATTGAAAAATCAAGAATTTAAAAAATCCAAAAATTAAAATATCGATGAAAATGTTGAAAAATGTAAGATTTAAAAACTGCAACATTTTGAAAAATCGAGTAAGTAAAAAATCAGATAAAACAGCCGAAAAATCTAAAAATTTAAAAATCAAAATCTTGATTAATCCAGAAATTGAGAAATCGAAAAATCCAAAAATTTCAAAAAGGCTAAAAATTGAAAAGTCCAAAATTTAAGTACATAAATAATTGATAAATCGAAACAACAGAAAAGTGAAAAACCTAAAATTTAAAAATTCGAAAAATTGAAAATTTACGAAATCGGGTAATCAAAACATCAACGAAAAATTGAAAAATGTAAGATTTTTAAAAAATTGCACAATTTTGGAAAATTGAATAAATAAAAAATTAAAAAAAAAACAAAGTCGAAAAATTTAAATACTTAAATCACAAAACTGAAACATTGAAAAATGGGAAAATAGAAAAATCAAAAGTGACGAAAAATGGGAAAATTAGAATTTTTAAAATCTAAAAAATCCAAAAATTAAAATATCGATGAAAATGTTGAAAACTGTAAGATTTAAAAACTGCAAAATTTTGAAAGATCGAGTTAAGTAAAAAATTAGAAAAAACAGAAAGCCGAAAGATCTAAAAATTTTAAAATCGAAATCTTGAAAAATCCCAAAACTTAAACAGAAAATAAAAAATCGGAAAATTAAAAACTCGATTAATACAGAAATTGAGAAATCGGAAAATCCAAAAATTTAAAAACGCCAAAAATGGGAAAATCGAAAAATTTAAGTACATAAATCCCAAAACTGAAATGTCGAAAATTGGAAACTGTCGAATAATCGAAAAAATTAATTAATTGCGAAAAATTGAATTTACAAAATCGAGAAATCGAAAAATCAAAAAAATGAAAAATGTAAGATTAAAAAATTGCACAATTTTGAAAAACTGAATAAACCAAAAATAAAAAAACAAAGTCGAAAAATTGAAATACATAATTCACAAAACTGAAACATTGAAAAATTGGTAAATAGAAAAATCGAAAGTGACTAAAAATCGAAAAAATGGGAACATTCAAAATTGAAACATTTTAACTCAAAAAAACTGATAAACCAAAATAGGAAAAATCGAAATATCGAAAAACTGAAAAATGAATTCCGAAAAATTGAAAAATCGGAAAACCTGAAAGCGAAAAATCTAAAGAAAACCGTTGAATCGAAAATTGAAAATCGATATATCGGAAAACTGAAAATTTAATTCCGAAAAATTGAAAATTTTCAAAATCGAGAAATCAAAACATCAACGAATCGAGAAATCAAAACATCAACGAATCGAGAAATCAAAAAATTGAAAAAAGTTAGATTTAACAAATCGCAAGATTTTTGAAAAATCGAGTAAGTAAAAACTCAAAAAAAAAAAAACAGAAAGTCAAAATCTCTAAAAAATTTAAAAATCGAAATCTTGAAAAATCCCAAAACAACAGAGAAATCGAAAAATCGTAAAATTAAAAAATCGAGAAATTGAGAAATCAAACAATCCCAAAGTTTAGAAACGCCAAAAATCGAAAAATTGAAATATCGGAATACTTAGCCAAAGAGAAAAAAAAATGGGAAAATTCAAAATTGAAAAATTTAAACTTAAAAAACCGGATAAATCGAAAAATTAAAAAACTGAAAAATTAATTCCGAGACTTTGAAAAATGGAAAAATCTAAAAATGAGAAACCAAAACATCGAAAGACTGAGAAATCGAAACAACAAAAAAGTGAAAAATCTAAAATTCAAAAATTCCAAAATTTACAAAATTGAAAAATCAAAAGATCAACAAATCGAAAAATGTAAGGTTTAAAAAATCGCAAAATTTTGAAAAATTGAGTACCTACGTAAAAAATAAAAGAAAAAAACAAAGTCAAAATCTCTAAAAATTTAAAAACTGAAATCTTGAAAAATCCCAAAACTCAAACAGAGAAATCGAATAATCGGAAAATTAAAAAACTGAATAATCGAGAAATTGAGAAATCTAAAAATCCAAAAGTTTAGAAATGCCAAAAATTGCAAAATTGAAAAATCGAAAAATTTAAAAATACATACATCCCAAAACTGAAACGTCGAAAAATTGGAAACTCTCGAATAATCAAAAGCTGAGAAACCGAAATCGAAAATTTGAAAAACCCCGAAATCGAAACATCAAAAGATCGATAAGTCGAGAAGTCGAAAGATCGAAAAATGGGAAAATTCAAACTTAAAACACCCGATAAATCGAAAAATTGAAAAATCCAACTATTGAAAAACTGAAAAATTAATTCCGAAAAATCTAAAAACGAGAGCGCAAAAGATCAACAAGTCGAAAAATCGAAAAATGGGAACATTCAAAATTGGAAAATTTTAACTGAACAAAACCGATAAACCAAGAAGTGAAAAATTGAAACTTTGAAAAACTGAAAAATTAATTCCGAAAAATTGAAAAACCGGAAAATCTGAAAACAAGAAGGCGAAAAATCTAAAAATTAAAAATCAAAATACAAAATTGAAAAAACCCAAAACTTAAACTTTGAAAATCGAAAAATTGAGAAATCGAGAATTCGGAGAGGAAAAATCGAAAAGTCGAAAAATTAAAAAATCCAATGAATTATAGAAAAACTGATAAACCAAAAAGTAAAAAATTGAAACTTCGAAAAATTGAAAAACCGGAAAATCGTAAAACGAGAAGGCGAAAATCTAAAGAAAGCCGTTATATGGAAAAGTAAAAAATCGAAAAACTGAAAAATTAATTCGGAAAAATTGAAAAATCGGAAAATCTAAAAACGAGAAGGCAAAATATCGAAAGATTGAGAAGTCGAAACAACACAAAAGTGAAAAATCTAAAGATTCAAAAAATTGAAAATTTTAAAAAATCGAGCAATCAAAACATCAACATCATAAAAAAATGATAAATCGAAAAATTTAAATACATAAATCGCAAAACTGAAACGTCGAAAAATTGGAACTCGAATAATCGAAAAGACGAATTGCCGAAAAACCGAGAAATCGAAATAAAAAAATCGAAAGACTGAGATATCGAAATAGTCAAAAATCAAAAAATGGGAAAATTCAAAATTGACAAATTTAAACTTGATAACCAGATAAACGAAAAATTGAAATATTGAAAACCTGAAAAATTAATTCCGAAAGATTGAAAAATCGAAAAATCTAAAAATGAGAAGACAAAAAATCGAAAGACTGAAAATCGAAACAACAAAAAATAAAAAATCTAAAATTTGAAAATTCGGAAAATTGAAAATTTACAAAATCCAGAAATCGAAGCATCAACGAATCGAAAAATCGAAAAAAGTACGATTTAAAAAATCGCGCTCAATTTTGAAAAATTGAATAAATAAAAAATAACAAAAACAAAAGTCGAAAAATCTAAAAATTTAAAAATCGAAATACACATTGAAAAATCCCAAAACTTAAACAGTGAAATTTGAAAATCGAAAAATCGAGATATCGGAAAGACGAAAAATTGGAATACATAAATCCCAAAACTGAAAGATTGAAAAATTGGAAAACAGAAAAATCGAAAAGATGAATTATCGATAAACTGAGAAATCGAAACCGAAAAATGGAAAAATTCCGATAAGCCAAAAAATGAAAAATTGAAACTTCGAAAAACCGAAAAATTAAAAAACGTGAAAATCTGAAAACAAGAAAGCGAAAAATCTAAAGAAAACCGTTAAATTGAAAATTGAAAAATCGAAAAACCGAAAAATAAATTTCGAAAAATCTAAAAACGGGAAGGCAAAAATTCGGAAGACTGGGTAATCGAAACAACAAAAAAGTGAAAAACCTAAATTTTAAAAATCGAACAATCAACACATCAACAAATTGAAAAATCGAAAAATCTAGCATTTAAAAAGTCGCAACATTTTGAAAAATCGAATAAGTAAGAAATCAAAAACACGAAAAGTTGAAAAATCAAAAAATTTAAAAATCCCAAAACTGAAACGTCGAAAAATTGGAAACTCGAATAATCGAAAAGACGAATAATCGAAAAACTGAGAAATCGAAATCGAAAAACTGAAAATACGCGAAATCGAAACATCAAAAGATCGATAAATCGAAAAATTGAGATACCGAAATAGCTAGAGATCGAAAAATGTGAAAATTCAAAATTGAAAAATTAAAACTTAAAAAACCCGATAAATCGAAAAATTGAAAATTCCAAATATTGAAAAACTGAAAAATTAATTCCAAAAAATTGCAAAATCGAAAAATCTAAAAACGAGAAACCAAAAATCGAAAGACTGAGAAATCGAAACAACACAAAAGTGAAAAATCTAAAATTTAAAGATTCGAAAAATTGAAAGTTTAAAAAATTGATAAATCGAAAAATTTAAACTTAAAAAACCCGATAAATAAATATTGAAAAACTGAAAAATTAATTCCGAAAGATTGAAAAATCGAAAAATCCAAAAATGAGAAAGCAAAAAATCGAAAATTTAAACAGAATCGAACCACAAGAAAGTGAAAAATCTAAATTTAAAAATTCGAAAAATTGAAAATTTGCAAAATCGGGAAATCAAAACATCAACGAATGGAAAAACCAAAGAACCGAAAAATCGAAAAATATAAGACTTAAAAAATCGCAAAATTTTGAAAAATTGAATAAGGAAAAAAAACAGAAAGTCTAAAATCTAAAAATTTAAAAATCGAAATACATATTTAAAAATCTCAAAATTGAAAAAACCCAAACCTTAAACACTGAAAATTTGAAAATAGAACAATTGAGAAATCGGAGACGGAAAATCGAAAAGTCGAAAAATTAAAAATCCCTTAATCGAGAAATTGGGAAATCGAAAAATCCAAAAATTGAGAATCGCCAAAAATTGAAAAATCGAAAAATTTAAATACATAAATCACAAAACTGAACATTGGAAATTGGAAAATAGAAAAATCGAAAAATGAGAAAATTCTAAATTGAAAAATTTTTACTTGACAAATTAATTCCGAAAAATTGAAAAACGGAAAATCTGAAAACGAGAAGACAAAAAATCGAAAGATTAAAAAATCGAAACAACACAAAAGTGAAAAATCTAAAACTTAAAGATTCGAAAAATTGAAAATTTTAAAAAATCGAGCAATCAAAACATCAACAAATCGAAAAATCATAAAAAATTGATAAATCGAAAAATTTAAATACATAAATCCCAAAACTGAAACGTCGAAAAATTGGAAACTCGAATAAGCGAAAAGACGAATTATCGAAAAGCTGAGATATCGAAATAGTCAAAAATCAAAAAATCTAAAAATGAGAAGGCAAAAAATCGAAAGACTGAAAATCGAAACAACAAAAAATTAAAAATCTAAAATTTGAAAATTCGGAAAATTGAAAATTTACAAAATCCAGAAATCGAAACATCAACGAATCGAAAAATCGAAAAAAGTAAGAAAATAAAAATCGCACAATTTTGAAAAATTGAATAAGTAAAAAATCAAAAAAACAAAGTCGAAAAATCTAAAAATTTAAAAATCGAAATACATATTGAAAAATCCAAAAACTTAAACAGTGAAATTTGAAAATCAAAAAATCGAGAAATCGGAAAGACGAAAAATTGAAATACATAAATCCCAAAACTGAAACATTGAAAAATGAGAAAACAAAAAAATCGAAAAGATGAATTTATCGATAAAGAAGCCAAAAAATCGGAAGATTGGGAAAAACCTAAAATTTTAAAAATCGAAAAATCCAACGTAACATTTTGAAAAATCGAATAAGTACAAAATAAAACCACGAAAAGTTGAAAAATCGAAAAATCTAAAATTGAGAAGACAAAAAATCGAAGGACTGAGAAATCGGAACAACAAAAATGTGAAAAATCTAAAATTCAAAAATTCGTAAAATTGAAAATTTACAAAATCGAAAAATCAAAACATCAACGTATCGAAAAATCAAAAAATGTAAGATTTAAAAAAATCGCAAAATTTTTAAAAATTGAGTAAGTAAACAATAAAAAAAAACAGGAAGTAGAAAATATCTACAAATCGAAATACATATTGAAAAATCCCAAAACTTAAACATTGAAAATTTGAAAATCGAAAAATTGAGAAACGCCAAAAATTGGAAAATAGAAAAATCGAAAAGATAAATTATTATCGATAAACTGAGAAATCGAAACCGAAAAATGGGAAAATTCCGATAAGCCAAGAAGTGAAACTTCGAAAAATGGAAGAATTAATTCCGAAGAATTGAAAAACCGGAAAATCTGAAAACGAGAAGGCGAAAAATCTAAAGAAAACCGTTAAATTGAAAATTGAAAAATCGAAAAACCGAAAAATCTAAAAACGAGAAGACAAAAATTCGGAAGACTGGGTAATCGAAACAACAAAAAAGTGAAAAACCTAAAATTTTAAAAATCGAACAATCGACACATCGACAAATTGAAAAATCATAAAACTGAAAAATCGAAAAATCTAACATTTAAAAAGTCCCAACCTTTTTGAAAAATCGAATAAGTAAAAAATCAAAAACACGAAAAGTTGAAAAATCGAAAAATTTAAAAGTCCCAAAATTGGAATAAATAGAAGATAATTTTTATACTCCGAGGTTTCGTCTTGTTTTACATAATATACATATTTCTCTAACCCTAAATAACACCGATTATTATTGTTGAAATTTGATATTCCTTGTCATTTATGTTTCGTGAACAGATAATAGTAACTACACTTATGCACAGTATTTACCCTCGGGCGCCAGTTTTCAACTTTTTACTTATAAAAAGCTCATTTTTCCAATCGGCCCCGAATCCCGAGCCTCGGCCCCCGCCACTCACCTTTTCGATGGGTATGCACGACAGCTCCCCGCCCCCACACTGCGGGGGCGGCAGCTGCGTGGTCGGCGTGACCGGCTTGTTCGCCGCCTTCTCCTGCGCCTCCCTGGCCCTCCGCTCCTTCAGCTTCAGCGAGAAGATCGCGACCGAGCGCGCGCGCTTCATCAAACTCTGCTTCACCCGCGTCTTCTTCGCCGCCAGCTCCTCGGCGGCGCGCGCCGCCTCGTCCGCCTCCTGGCTCGACACGCTGCGCGCGCTGTCGCTGAGGGAGGAGTCGGCGGGGGCGGGGCGCGCCCGGACGGGCGGGCTGCTGTGGTGCGGCGGCGAGCGCGGCCGCGGCGGCCACACCGGGCTGCTCTTCAGCAGGTCCGAGTCCGAGCTGGAGGCGTCCTTCGGGGTTATGCAGTCGGTGCTTCGATGTATGTCGGTCTCCTCCTTGAGGCGCTTGGCCCACTCAGCCCCGCCGCTCGGCCCGATCGTGAGGTGGTGGGCGTGCTCGCTCTAAACTCCGCCCGATTAGTCGCGCCCACTCGGAGTGGGGGTACTTACCTCCGGCGGGACCCACTCTTTGGATTTGCGCGGTTTGAACGGCGGGATCTGCTGGATGCTGTCGGGGGTGATGGAGACGGGTTTGTGGAGGGTGGCGGGGGCCGGCGTGGTGGGGGTGGGGACGGGGGTGGCGTTCTGTGACACCGATTCTTTTTCTTTGATGGTTTCCGACATTTCGCGCAGTTTCATGTCGAGTTTGCTCTCGTTGCCGGTGACGAGGCTGTGACTCGGGGAAACTGAAAATCTTTACAACGGTGAAAGGTCAGATGGCTGAAATGGTTAGTGCATAAGCAGATTATCTACATCGGAGTGGTTCGATCGGTCAAAGCGAAGTAGATGTGCTAGAAAAGATTCAAAGTCGCAAAGTGATAGAAGGCGAAGCTCAAACGCGATTTTTACCATTGGGGGTGGTTGCCGCCGCCCTTGTCACGAGACCTACAGGAAATATACTACAGTTATCTACCACTAAGAACTTTCGGAACTTCGGACCGTTCAAATATAAAAGATAGAAAAAGGAGAGAGAACCAACTGACATCACTATAAACCTACAAATGACACATCGAGTTGGTCCTCCCTTCGTGTCTTAAAAACCAAACTACCTTCCAATGAGCTTCGCTGATAGTTCTTCAGGCGAAGGTGTCGAAGTGTTGGGAAGCCTGCTCGCTTCGCGCCTAGCCCACTCGATTTTTGCCATCTCAGTGGCCAACCAACCGGGAATGTCGGGTATGGCACACGTGATTATAAACCTGATCACGAGCATGATATGCTCCAAGGCCACGATCAGCAGAATGGTCTGAGTAGCGGTCATATCCGGAAACATCCGATGCACCTGTCCCGATAGACCAATCAGAGCGCAGTTGACCAATACCGCCATGATGCTCATGTACTCCATACAATTCTGAAAGTATTCATCGGTACTTGTCTGTGCATCGTTATATCATTGTTTAAGTATATTATAGTTGAACAACCTAACACAAATTTTTGTTCGCCTAAATAGTGACCTTTAGGACAATCGAAGATTAAATATTTATTTCGCGTTTCCATAAATCGACCCTTGATGTCTCAATTTTTCAATATTGCAATTTTGGGCTTTTCCAATTCTCCTATTCTTCAAATTTTCCATTTCTCGATTTTTTTATTTTTCGATTTCTCAATTTTTCGATGTTTCAATGATACGATTTCTCAATTTTTGTCCTCTTCAATTTGACGGTTTTTAAATATTTCGATTTTTCAATTTTTCAAATTTCCACGTTTCTAAATTTTCAGTTTTCCGATTTATAAAGTATTTTTTTTATTTTTCCATTTCTGGACTTCCTAAAGTTTCGATTTTGCTTTTTTAGATTTTCGATTTCTCAATTTTCCAATTTTTTAATTTCTCAATTTTTTTAATATTTCTTTCAGTTATGAGATTTTTCAATATTTCAATCTTTCGACTTTTCGATTTTTCAATTGATGGATTTTTTTGATTTCTCGATTTTTTACTTTTTGGATTTTCAATTTATTGTTAAACTTTAGATTTTTCAATTCTTCGACTGTTTAATACTTCGATTTCTCCATTTTTCAACTTTTCGAGCTTTTAATATATCATTTTTTAAAATTTTAGGTTTTTCGATATCTCGAGTTTTCAATTCTTCTATGTTTCAATTTTTCAATTTTTCGATTATGCAATTTTTTAATTTCTCAATTTATCGAATTCAGATGCTTCATTGTTTTGATTGTGCAGTTTCTCAATTTATCAATTTTTCAATTTTTAACTCTGCTTTTCGGCTTCCGATTCCTCAATTTCTCGATCCTTCGATTTTTCGATTTCTCGATGTCTCAGTTTTTTAATTTTTCGATGTTTCAATTTTTGGATTTCTCGGTTTTTCGATTTTTTTCTTTTGAGCTTTTCAATTTCTGGATTTTCCAATTTTTCAAATTGAATTGGATTTCTCAATTCTTCAATTTTGCGATATTTTAATTGTTCAATGTTTTAAATTATAGATTTTTCGATTTCTCGATTTTTTGACTTTTCAGTTCTTCAATATTCAAATTTTTCAATTAAAAAATTTTGACGTTAATTTTCAGTTTTCTGATTTCTCAATTAATCTATTTTTGATTTTCCCACTTCTCAATGTTTCGATTTTTCAGTTCTTCAATTCTTCGATTTTTCGACTTCGCTTTATTGGTTTTTCGATTTCTCAATTTTTGGATATTTCTTTCAGTTTTGATACTGTTCAATACTTTTTTGATTGTTATATATTTCAATTTCTCAATTTTTCAAATTTTCCATATTTTAATTTTTACATTTCTAGATTTTTCGGTTTCTCGAGTTTCCAGTTCTATATTTTACTTTTTCGAATTTCGGAATTTTAAAATTTTTTTGAGATCTCGATTTATTGTTTCGATGTTTTTTGATTGTTCAATCTCTCGCTTTATCAATTTTTCCATATTTAAGTTTTCGATTTTTCGATTTTGGCCTATTTCGGTTTCTTAATTTTTCGACTTTTTGGTCTTCTGATTTTTCGATGTCTCAATTTTTGAATTTTTTGATTTGTTGGTTTTTCGACTTTTTGCTTTTCGGTTTCTCGATTTTTCGATGTTTCCATTTTTGATTTATTCGATTTTTCAATTTTCCAATTTTTTAAATTTTCGACTTGTTGATTCGTTGATTTTTCAGTTTTTCTATTTCTAAATTTTAGATTTCCGAATTTTTATTTTTTTGATTTTTTGATGTTTGGATTTCTCCATTTTTCAGTTTTAGGATATTTTAACTTTTCAATGTTTTAAATTTTAGATTTTTCGATTTTTCAGTTCTTCAATATTTTTTTATTTTTCAAATTTTGACGTTTCTGAATTTTCAGTTTTCGGATTTCTCAATTAATCTATTTTTTATATTCCCATTTCTCCACTTCCCAAAGTTTCGATTTTTCAGTTCTTCAGTTCTTCAATTTTTCGATTATTCAGGTTTTTGATTTTTCAATTTTTCGATTTTTTAAGTTTGCGACTTTTCGACTCTGCTTTTACGACTTTTCTGTTTTTCAATTTTTTTGGATATTTCGTTCAATGTTGTGATTTTTCAGTTTTTCGATTTTTTGAGTTTTCAGTTCTTCGATATTTCATTTTTTCAATTTTCGGAATTTTTAAATTTTCGATTGTCCAATTTTTTTTATTTTTCGATTTTCCAATTTTTCGAGATTAAAATTCGAAAAATTGAAAAATTCCAAAACTGGAATGTAGAAAGTGAAAAATCTAAACATCGAAAAGTCGAAAAATCGAGAAATCGAAGACTCGAAAAATCGACTAATCAAAAACTTAGAAACGCCAAAAATGAGAAATTTGAAAAATGGAACAAGTGAGGAATCGAAAAATCGACGAATTAAAAAATCGAAAAATTGAAAAATTCCAAAACTGGAATGTAGAAAGTGAAAAATCTAAACATCGAAAAGTCGAAAAATCGACTAATCAAAAACTTAGAAAGGCCAAAACTGAAAAATAGGAAAATCGAAAAAGCAAAATTGGAAAATCGAAAAATCCAAAAATCCAAAAGCCGAAAAATCGATTCAACACCAAGAAATTGAAAAGTGAAAAAATCGAAAATTCCAGAAATCGAAATAGCTCAAACGAAAAAGTAAAATCTGAAAAATCTGAAATTTCAAAATCGAAAAATCAGAACATCAAAATCTCGATAAATCGGGAAATCGAAACATCAAAACATTGAAAAACCAAAAATTTTAAAAATCGAAATATTCAACATTTTAAAACTGAGAAGTCGAAAAATCAAAATATCGAGAAATCGAAACAACCAAAAATTGATTTATCAATTAAAAAAATCGAAACAAATCTAAAATTTCAAAAATAAAAAAATTTAAAACTCGAGGATTGAAACATCAAAAAATCGAAAAACTGAAGAGAAAAACTGAAAAATTGAAAAATCGAGAAATCAAAACATCGAAAAGTCGAAAATCGTAACTTCAAAAAATCGAAAAATTTTAGAATTTGAATCGAAAAATGGAAAGTCGAAAATTAAAAATTCGAAAAATTGAAAAATAGGAAAACCGAAAAATTTAAACATCGAAAAAGCGAATTTCGGAAGCTCGAATTTATCGGAGAATGAGAGGAGTGGTAAATGAGAGAATGAGAGAGGGTGATAAATGGGAGAATGAGAGAGGGTGATAAATGGGAGAATGAGAGAGAGTGATAAATGGGAGAATGAGAGAAGGAGTGATAAATGGGAGAATGAGAGAGGGTGATAAATGGGAGGATGAGAGAGGGTGATAAATGGGAGAATGAGAGAGAGCGATAAATGGGAGAATGAGAGGGAGTGATAAATGGGACAATGAGAGATTCAGTTCTTCAATTTTTCGATTATTTAGGTTTTTGATTTTTCAATTTCTCGATTTTTTAAGTTTGCGACTTTTCGACTCTGCTTTTTTGCTTTTCTGTTTCTCAATTTTTTAATTTCCTAGTTTTTGGATATTTCGTTCAATTTTGTGATTTTTCAGTTTTTCGATTTCTCAATTTAAACTTTTCAAATTTTAAATTATTAGTTTTTTTCGATTTTTTGAGTTTTCAGCTCTTCTATATTTCAATTTTTCAATTTTCGGAATTTTTAAATTTTCGATTGTCCAATTTTTTTTATTTTTCGGTTTTCCAATTTTTCGAGATTAAAAATCGAAAAATTCCAAAACTGGAATGTAGAAAGTGAAAAATCTAAACATCGAAAAGTCGAAAAATCGAGAAATCGAAAACTCGAAAAATCGACTAATCAAAAACTGAGGAACGCCAAAAATGAGAAATTTGAAAAATGGAACAAGTGAGGAATCGAAAAATCGACGAATTAAAAAACTGAAAAATCTAAAATTTAAAATATCAAAAAAAAAACGAATAATCGGGAAACTGAAACATCAAAAAAATTCGAAAAATTGAAAAACAGGAAAATCGCAAAATTGATGAATTGAAAGAGTGAATAATCGAAACATCGAAAAGTCGAGAAACGGGAAAATCAAACATCGAAAAGTTGAAAAATTTAGAAATCGAAAACTTGGAAAGGCCAAAACTGAAAAATGGGAAAATCTCAAAAATCGAAATTAAAACACCGAAAAATTGGAAAATCGAAAATTCAAAAATCCAAAAGCCGACAAATCGATTCAACACCAAGAAATTGAAAAGTGAAAAAATCGAAAATTCGAGAAATCGAAATAGCTCAAACGAAAAAGTAAAATCTGAAAAACCTGAAATTTAAAAAATCGAAAAATCAGAACATCGAAATCTCGATAAATCGAGAAATCGAACATCAAAAAATTGAAAAATACAAAATTTTAAAAATCGAAAAATTCAACATTTTAAAACTGAGAAGTCCAAAAATCAAAATATCGAGGAATCGAAACACCCAAAAATTGATTTATCATTTAAAAAACTCGAAAAAAAATCTAAAATTTAAAAAATAAAAAAATTAAAAACTCCAGGATTGAAACATCAAAAAATCAAATCAATAAAATCGAAAAATTTAAAACTAGGTAAATCGAAAAATTGAACAATTGAAAAACTGAAAAATTGAAAAATCGAGAAATCAAAACATCGGAAAGTCGAAAAATCGTAACTTCAAAAAATCGAAAAATTTTAGAATTCGAATCGAAAAATGGAAAGTCGAAAATTAAAAATTCGAAAAATTGAAAAATAGGAAAACCGAAAAATTCAAACATCGAAAAAGCGATTTTCGGAACCTCGAATTTATCGGAGAATGAGAGAAGGAGTGATAAATGAGAGAATGAGAGAGGGTGATAAATGGGAGAATGAGAGATGGAGTGATAAATGGGAGAATGAGAGAGAGTGATAAATGGGAGAATGAGAGAAGGAGTGATAAATGGGAGAATGAGAGAATTCAGTTCTTCAATTTTTCGATTATTCAGGTTTTTGATTTTTCAATTTTTCGATTTTTTAAGTTTGCGACTTTTCGACTCTGCTTTTTTTTGAAATTTAAAATCTCGATAAATCGAGAAATCGAAACATCAAAAAATTGAAAAATCGAAAAATTCAACATTTTAAAACTGAGAAGTCCAAAAATGAAAATATCGAGAAATCGAAACAACCAAAAATTGATTTATCAATTAAAAAATTCGAAAAAAAATCTAAAATTTAAAAAATAAAAAAATTAAAAACTCCAGGATTGAAACATCAAAAAATTGAAGAATTGAAAAGAAATTGAAAATCGAGAAATCAAAACATCGAAAAGTCGAAAAATCGTAACTTCAAAAAATCGAAAAATGGAAAGTCGAAAATTAAAAATTCGAAAAATTGAAAAATAGGAAAACCGAAAAATTGAAACATCGGAAAAGTGATTTTCGGAAGCTCGAATTTATTCGACAATGAGAGGAGTGATAAATGAGAGAATGAGAGGGTGATAAATGGGTGAATGAGAGAGGGTGATAAATGGAAGAATGAGAGAGGGAGTGATAAATGGGAGAATGAGAGAGAGTGATAAATGGGAGAATGAGAGTGATAAATGGGAGAATGGGAGAAAGAGTGATAAATGGGAGAATGAGAGAGAGTGATAAATGGGAGAATGAGAGAGAATTCAGTTCTTCAATTTTTCGATTATTTAGGTTTTTGATTTTTCAATTTTTCGATTTTTTAAGTTTGCGACTTTTTTGACTTTTCTGTTTCTCAATTTTTTAATTTCCTAATTTTTGGATATTTCGTTCAATTTTGCGATTTTTCAATTTTTCGATTTCTCAATTTTAACTTTTCAATTTTTAAATTATTAGTTTTTTTCGATTTTTTGAGTTTTTAGTTCTTCTATATTTCAATTTTTCGATTTTCGATTGTCCAATTTTTTTTTTATTTTTCGATTTTCCAATTTTTCGATTTTTAAATTTTAGATTTTCCAATTTTTATTTTTTTGATTTTTTTATGTTTTGATTTCTCGATTTTACAATGTTACCATATTTGAATTTTTCAATGTTTTAAATTTTCAATTACCACCACTTCATAGTGAAGCGAGTGAGATGTAAAATATATGTTCATTCTTTTCTACATGGGAAAGTGATTCTCCGTATAGGTTGTCCAACTATAATATACTTAAACAATGGTTATACGAACAACACGCAACACTTGAGGGACTAGTACTCCCTCTGGCTATTGCGTTTTAAAATTTATGTTGGTACCTGCCAGGTCCCTATATTGGGCACCCTTTGCCCGAACGGCCTCTGGCACACGTAACCCAGCTTGAAAGCGTCGCTGCGTATTTCCACCAGGTTGTTAAACATAGCGCAGAGCGCAGCCGGCGGAAACGCTGACGAGAAGAGAATGACGTATCCCAGTTGCATCGTCATCTCCAGGTGGTCGGCGAAAGTCCCGTCGTACTTATACAAGGAGCTCTCCAGCTCCGCCTGGCTCATGCTCCTCTTGTTCGCTTGCTCCGCCGCCGGCTCCTCCCTCACTTCCGGCACCTGCTCCTTATCCTTCTCCTGCTCCTCTCCCGGCGGCGGTCTGTTGGTACTTTGTGGACTTAAAGCACCCCACAAGTCAAAACTCATTTTGGCTAAACGCATATGCTCTAGCATGTAGGGCAAAGCGGACTCTTTCAGGTTACCGATCACCTGTCTGGATATCAATAAAGCGGCCAATTGCTGAAGAGGAAGAATTTTAGTCTCGGGGGGAACAGAAACCGTGTCAATTTACCTCCTTGAGGCGCGCCTGATCTTGCAGATAAAAAGCGATGTAAAACAATGAGAGGAACGAATTGACAAATTGAAACTGAAACACAGAATATCACTCGTAGAATTGGTGGGGGTCGGCGTGGGGGAGTGTTCGGTCGTTCATGGATATGACGCGTCTGGCGGACTATACCTTGGGCATGCATGGGGATGCAGTGACTTAAATTCATTTTTAAAAAAATAAATGAAAATTAGGGGTCAGAAGAAGCGGACTTTCGACAGAGGGTGCAAGAAGCTCAGTGACAAGTAGTAGAGGAATACAAACCAAGGCCACTTTGCCGATGAGGTGGTTTTCGTACTTCGTCTCAAGACGGTAGTTCTCTGAGCAGCGTGGTAAAAACATAGCTCACAGTTAAATAGTTAGCACCTACTTTCTATACTACTACTAAGATAAAAAACACAAAATGACGTAACTAAAACACGGCCGGTTCTCCCGAACACGACTATCGCATGCCAAACGACAAACTTGTTGTTTTTTTGCTCTCTCAAAAAAATACATGTAGATGTCGCTACTTCACGGATGTTTTGTTGTCAGTTTGTGGGTGTGCGATATACTTACCTTTGTCGTTCAGCCAAATGGCTATTTTGAAGTAGGCCTCATCCATGAGAGAAATTACCACGGCTAACATGATTTTGGGCAAGTAGCCGAGCCACATGGGCAGGCCCTTCGAACTGAGCAGGCCGTCCCACCAGTCCTTGAAAAATAAACACTGTATTTTATATTTCATTTTTTTGAGAATTTTTATGGAACTTCACCAAAAGCTCAATTTTCCATTCCCTCCTCTATGGATTATTAACATTTTTCTACGCACCTTCGATAATTGCGAAAAAATAGGTTTTTTTTTGTTAATTTCGACCTAATAATTTTTTTGGATTCATTTCTTCGACAATTTCAACCATTTTTCCACAAACACGTGACAACTTTTCACATATTTAGAAAATTTTATTTTAAAACAGAATACATATTTCGAAAATATTGACCTGAGAGCGTCAATACCCGATGTTTCGCGATTCAGCTCGGCGAAATCTATCTCCCCCTTTTTTTTGAGAACTTTTAGGGAATTTCACCAAAAGCTGAATTTTCCATACCCTCCCCTATGAATCTTTGACATTTTTCTGCGTACCTTCGAAAATTGCCAAAAGATAGCTTTTTGTTGATTTAGACTTGAGAAGTTCTTTTAGATTCATTTCTTCGACAATTTCAATTATTTTTCCACAATCATGTGACAAATTTTGAGATACATATTTAGAAAATTTGACTTTAAAACAAAATATTTTGAAATGATTAGTCGAGACATCAACACCCTATATTTTGGGATTCAGTTTGTCGATATCTATCTCCCAGATTTTTTGAGAATTTTTTGTAACTTAGCCTTTGAATTTTTGACATTTTTCTAAATACCTTCGAAAATCATCGAAAAAAGATATTCTGCTATTGGTTTCGAGCTTGAGAAGTCTTTTTGCCATCATTTTTTCCAGAAACACCATAAATGAAAGGTGACAAATTTTCAGATATTTAAAAAAATATATTCTGAACCCAATATTTGGAAAAGATTGGTGCCGAACCATCAAGACCTGATGTTTTGCGATTTAGCTCGTCGAAATCTAGCTACCAGATTTTTTTTAGAACTCTGGGCAATTTTGCCAAAAGCTCAGTATTCCCATATGAATTTTTAACATTTTTTTTTAGAAAAAGAATATCTTTTGTTGATTTTGACCTTGAGATTTTTTTGGCTTCATTTCTTCAACCCTTCCTACCGTTTTGTCCAGAATCACGTGACAAATTTTCAGATATTTAAAAAAAAAAATGAGTAGTTTGGAACCGAATATTTAAAAAATATTAGTCCCAGACCATCAACACCCTATGTTTTGGGATTCAGATCGTCGAGATCTATTTCTCAGATTTTTTTGAGAATTTTTAGGGAACTTCGCCAAAAACTTAATTTTTCCATATTTTCCCCTATGAATTTTTACAGCATCTTCGAAAATCACCAAAAATATTCTTTTGCTGATTTCGGCTTTGAGATTTTTTTTTTGACTTTATTTTATGGAAAAAATGACTTGAAAATCGAATATTTCGAAATTATTAGTACAAGACCCAATGTTTTGGAATTTAGTTCGTCAAATTTATCTCCCAGATTTTTTTGAAAATTTTCAAGGAACTTCGCCAAAAGCTCAATTTTTCCCTATGAATTTTTGACATTTTTTGCGCACTTTCGAAAATTACCAAAAGGCATTCTTTTGTTGATTTCGACCGTTTGGAGTTTTTTCTGGCCTCATTTCTTCAACTGTTTTCCAGAATCACGTGACAAATTTTCAGATATTAAAAAAAATTGACTTTAAAACTGAATATTTAAAAAATATTGGTTCGGGTCCATCAATACTCGATGTTTTGGGAATTACTTGTGGAGATCTATCTCTAAAAGTTTTTTGAAAATTTTTAGGGAACTTCGCCAAATACTCAATTTTTCCATATTCTCCCCTACGAATTTTTTACATTTCTTTTCTGCGCAGATTCAAAAATCACCAAAAATATTCTTTTGCTGATTTCGACTTTGAGAAGTTTTTTTCTTGTTCCATTTCTTCCGACTTTCCCAAAAATACCAAAGTGGAATGTGACAAAATTTTCAGATATTAAAAAAAAAGACTTTAAAATCGAACATTTCGAAAATATTGGTTCAAGACTATTAACATCCAATGTTTTGGAATTCAGCTCATCGAAATCTATCTCCCAGATTTTTTTGAAAATTTTTAAGGAACTTCGCCAAAATTTCAATTTGTCCATACCCTCCCCTATGAATTTTTAACATTTTTCTAAGTACTTTCGAAAATCATCAAAGATATTCTTTTATTGATTTTGACTTGAGAAATTTTTTTGGCTTTATTTCTTCGACAATTTCAACCATTTTTTCGTAATGACGTGACAAATTTTCAGATATGTATTTAGAAAATTTCAGTTTAAAACCGACTATTTCGAAAACATTGGTCCGGGTCCTTCAACACCCTATGTTCAACTTCAACTCGTCGAGATCTATACCTATAGCTTCCAATTTTTTTTGAGAATTTTTAGAAAATTTCGCCAAAAATTCAATATTTCCATGCCCTTCCCTATAAATTTTTCATATTTTTCTGCGTACTTTCAAAAATCACCCAGACATTTTTTTGTTGATTTCGACCTAGAGAACTTTTTTCTGGCCTCATCTCTTCAACAATTTCAACCATTTTTCCAGAATCACGTGACAAATCTCTTCAGATATTTAAAAAATTTGTCTTTCAACCAAATATTTCGAAAATATTAGTCCAAGATCATTCACACCCTATGTTTTGGAATTCAGTTCGTCGAAATCTATCTTCTCGATTATTTTGAAAATTTTTAAAGAACTTCGACAAAAGTTCAATTTTTCCATACCCTCCCCTATGAATTTTTGACATTTTTCCAAGTACCTTCGAAAATCACCAAAAGATATTCTTTTATTGATTTTCACCTGGGAAGTTATTTTTGACTTTATTTCTTCGACAATTTCAACTATTTTTCCATAATCACGTGATAAATTTTCAGATCTGTATTAGAAAATTTGACTTTAAAACCGAATATTTCGAGAGAATATCAACACCCTATGTTATGGGATTCAACTCTTCGAGATCTATCTTCCAAATTTATTTGAGAATTTTTAGAAAACTTCGCCAAAAGCCCAATTTTTCCATACCTGCCCCTATGAATTTTTCACATTTTTCTAAGTACCTTCGAAAATGACCAAAAGATATTTTGTTATTGATTTCGACCTGAGAATTTTTTTTTAGGCTTTGTCTTCGAAAATTTTGACATTTTTTCCACAATCACGTGACAAATTTTCAGAAACGTATTTAAAAAGTTTCATTTTAAAACCGAATATTTCCAAAATATTGATCCGAATCCATGAAGACCTTATGTTATGGGACTCAGCTCAGATTTTTTTTAGAATTTTTAGAAATCTTCGCCAAAAGCTTAATTTTTCCTTACCCCCCCCTATAAATTTTTGATATTTTTTTGCGCACCTTCAAAAATCACCACGACATTCTTTTGTTGATTTCGACCTAGAGAACTTTTTTGTGGCCTCATTTCTTCAACTAAATATTTCAACTATTTTCCAGAATCACGTGACAAATTTTCAGATATTAAAAAAATTGACTTTAAAACTGAATATTTAAGAAATATTGGTTCGGGTCCATCAATACCCTGTTTTGGGATTCAGCTTATCGTGATCTATCTGCAAGATTTTTTGAACATTTTTAGGGAACTTCGCCATATACTCAATTTTTCCATATTCTCCCATACGAATTTTTTACATTTTTTTTCTGCGCAGGTTCAAAAATCACCAAAAATATTCTTTTGCTGATTTCGACTTTGAGAAGTTTTTTTTTGTTGGATTTCTTCCGACTTTGCCAGAAATACCAAAGTGAAATGTGACAAAATTTTCAGATATTAAAAAAAATGGACTTTAAAACCGAACATTTCGAAAATATTGTTTCAAGACCATTAACATCCTATGTTTTGGAATTCAGCTCATCCAAATCTATCTCCCAGATTTTTTTGAAAATTTTTAAGGAACTTCGCCAAAAGTTCAACTTTTCCATACCCTCCCCTATGAATTTTCGACATTTTTCTAAGTAACTTCGAAAATCACCAAAAGACATTCTTTTATTGATTCTGATCTGAGAAGTTTTTTTTAGGTTTTATTTCGACAATTTCAACCATTTTTCCATAATCACGTGACAAATTTTCAGATATATATTTAGGAAATTTGACTTTAAAACCGAATATTTGGAAAACATTAGTCCGAATCCTTCAACACCTTATGTTTTGAGATTCAACTCGTCGAGATCTATCTTCCAAATTTTTTTGAGAATTTTTAGAAATCTTCGCCAAAAGCTTAATTTTTCCATGCCCTCCCCTATAAATTTTTGATATTTTTTTTGCGCACCTACAAAAATCACCAAGTCATTTAAGAATGTCAAAAGATTATTGATTTCTACCTAGAGAACTTTTTGGGCAATTTCTCCAAAAATTCAATTTTTGACGTTTTCCCAAGCCACTTAGAAAATTTCCAAAAATGATTTTGTTGATTGCAATCTGTAGAGATTTTTCTCGGCTTCATTTCTTAGAAAACCTCTACTATTTTTCAGAATCAGCAAAAGGAAATGTATTGCAATTTTTCGGATATTTTAAAAATTTGACTTTGAACACGAATATTTCGAAAACCAGTTGCCGTGTCGACTTTAGATCATTTTTTCTAACAGATCTATCATTCTTAAGCAAACACGATTTTTTTCATAATTTTTGCGCTAAATGTATTCGTCGAAAAATGCGGGTTTTTGCGGCTGAGCAACTACATTTTAACATTTTTTAGTTTTTTTAGCAGCATTTTCAATTTTCCCTACCTGTATCTGCAGCGACACGATCATCACGAAGAACACCGTTGACAAGCACACCACAATAATCGGCACCGACACGCAGTATCTGAAAACGTGCCTCTTCCACGCCGGATGCCACGGTTCCAGCCTTCCCGTGACCGGACTGGGCTGCAGGGGCCCCTGGGAACATATCATAACATGTCGCGCAACCTAACACGTCGACATGTTACAGCACTATAAGCTCTCTAAAGAAAAAAGCGGCATAACATACAAACAACAGTCAAAAAATTAATTAAACAGCGAAAGTGTGTGTGCACGAAGCGGTGACATTTCAGCAACCGACTCCGGTTGGCGTAAATGTCGCTTGTGTTAGTATTGGTCAGTTTAACCGTCACCGTAGTAACGAGGGCGTACCCGAAACAGGGGGCGTGGCTCGGCGAGCAGGTCGTCCCGTTGGTCCAGCGTGCCCCAGCGGAAGGCCAGCTCGGCCGAGTAGCGCTTCCAAGCCTGCAGGTAGGTGGTCACCCACACGACGTTGAACACCGAGAAGAGCACGTAGCCGACGTCCTCGAGGGTTTGGTGCTTGCCGTTGCAGCAGAGCTGCAAGAGGCGGAGTCAGGGCGGGGCTTGCGGTGGAGTGGGCGGGCTTACCCAGAAGAAGAAGCCGACGATGGCGGGGATGCTCAAGGCGGTGGTGTAGTGGCCCAGCCAGGCGAAGTACATGCCGATTTTCACGCCGAAGTATTCGGTTATTTCGTCTAGAAAATCAAGGTTTTGTGACTGAATACCTGGTAATAATAAATTTTGGGGGCAAACGCGGTGTACAAACATTGTTGACTCTTGTAAAAAGTTGGCTGCGTGATTATTAAAGGTTGGTGGTTTCTATAGATCCGTGTTGACGTTTCGTACTAAAAATAGATTCTTCAGACACGCACTTTGATTTATTTTTTGGTATCAACGAAAAAATACGTGGATAAAATTGGAGATACGCTTGAAGACTGAACAATTTTGGGGGATGATTGACGTCAAAATTAAAATAATCTGAAACACGGGTTGCCGACCTTTGTAAAAGGAAAAAATACCTAGTGGTTGCCTGGCACAAAAATCCCTAACCCACGTGTTCTGCAGACGTTCTAAAGCGGCAGGCTCGTGTAAGGGAAACACTTGTGAGATAATTCCAGAGGTTAGACACTTAGGAACTGAAAACATTGAATAAAACAGTAAAGTAAAAAACGCTGGGGTTTAAATACTACCAATGGGTTGTCCTTCTAGAAGCGCCAATCCAGGTATGGACTCCACGTCACTGCTCTTCGCCCGAATGCTCTCCAACAGCCGCAACACCAACCATTGTCTCTCCTCCGTAGTGAAGAAGTGCTCCTCGCTCCCTGAACCCTCATACGACTGGAAGTCCTGCATGAGAAACTCCTTCAAGCCGCCCCCCTTGTTTTCCTTCAGGATTTTTGGAAGATGATACTCTTCAGCAGCTTTGAGCAAACTGGAACAAACCGGTTAGAACTTATCCGAAAGACGGTTTTTGATTTGTGTTATTTTTTGTGAATTTTTTTTTTTCAAGTGGAAACCTTGTTGAGATTTTCAAAACGTCTGAACTGACAAATTTCTGGGAAAATGGTATGAGTTATCGAAAAAATTGGGTCGAAATGTACAAGAAAATGTCTTTAGTTAAGTTTCGAAGATGGTCCAAAATTCCGAAATTTTGGTTTTGAAAAAGTTGGCTAAAAATCCTCAAAAAATTCTGGGATGTAGATTTCGACGTGCTAATTCCAAAAATACAGCGTTTTTGTTGAGCCATGGCAAGATTTTAGAAATATTCAATTTGAAATGCAATTTAAAAAAAAAATACAAAAATAGTCAAATTTAAATATTTAGGCGATTCTGGAAAAATGGTAGGAATTATTCAAGAAATGAGGCCAAAAGTAATTTCTGGAGGTCGAAATGTACAAGAAAATGTCATTGGTTAACTTTCGAAAGTGGTCGAAAAATCTCAAAATTTTCGTACATATAATGAAAAAATTTTGGGTTTGGAAAAGTTGTCTAAAAATCCTCAAAAAATTCTGAGATGTAGATTTCGGCATGCTAATTACAAAAATACAGTGTTTTTATTGGCCCAGGGCAAGATTTTAGAAGTATTCAGGTTGAAGTGCAATTTTTTTAAAAATTCAAAAAATGGTACGAGTTCTCGAACAAATGGAACCAAAAGTAACTTCTGCAGGTCGAAATGTACAAAAAATATCTTTGGTTTAGTGTAGAAGATGACCGAAAAATTCCAAAATTTTCGTATAAATGAAAAATTTTGGTTTTAGAGAAGTTGTCTAAAAATCCTTAAAAAATTCTGGCATAATGATTTCGACGTGCTAATTTCAAAAATATACCGTTTTTATTGGCCCGGGGCAATATTTTAGAAATATTCAATTTGAAATGCAATTACATACAAAAAATCCGAAAATGGTTAAATTTGAATGGGCGATTCTGGTTAAATGGTAGGAATTATCGAAGAAACGAGGCCAAAAGAAACTTCTGGTCGTCGAAATATACAAGAAAATGTATTTGGTTAATTTTCGAATGTGGTCGAAAAAATCCGAAATTTTCGTATTGAAAAATTTTGGTTTTGAAAAGGTTATCTAAAAATCCCAAAAAAAATCTGAGACATAGATTTTGACGTGCTCATTCCAAAATATAACGTGTTGATGGTGTTAGGGCACGATTTTAGAAATATTTGAGTTGAAATGCAATTAAAAAAAAATCTGAAAATGGTTAAATTTGAATGGGCGATTCTGGAAAAATGGTAGGAATTATCAAAAGAAATGAGGCCAAAAGAAACTTCTGGAGATCGAAATTTACAAGAAAATGTCTTTGGTTCAGTTTAGAAAATGGTCGACAAATTCAAAAATTTTCGTATAAATGAAAAATTTTGGTTTTGAAAAAGTTGTCTTAAAATCCTCAAAAAATTCTGAGATGTAGATTTCGACCTGCTAATTCCAAAAATACAGCGTTCTTGTTGGCCCAAGGCAAGATTTTATAAATATTCAATTTGAAATTAAGTTAAAAAAAATCCAAAAATGGTCAAATTTGAATATTTAGGCGATTCTGGAAAAATTGTAGGAATTATCCAAGAAATTAGTCAAAAGTAGCTTCTCGAGGTCGAAATGTACAAGAAAATGTCTTTAGTTGATTTTCGAAAGTGGTCGAAAAATTCTGAAATTTTCGTATGTATTGAAAAATTTTGGTTTTGAAATAGTTGTTTAAAAATCCTCAAAAAAATTTGAGAAATAGATTTTCAGATGCTGATTCCAAAATATAACGTGTTTATGCTGCAGGGACAAGATTTTAGAAACATTTGGTTTGAAATGCAATTTTTTTAAAAACCCAAAAAACTTTCATATTTCAATGGGTGATTCTGGAAAATTGGTAGGAGTTATAGGACAAAATGGAACCAAAAATAACTTCTGGAGGTTGAAATGTACACAAAAATAGTAGAAGATGGTCGAGAAATTCCAAAATTTTCGTATTAATGAAAAATTTTACTTTTGAAAAAGTTGTCTAAAAATCTTCAAAAAAAAAATCTAAGGTATAGATTTTGAAGTGATGATTGCAAAAATACAGCGTTTTTATTGACCCGGGGCACGATTTTAGAAATACTCAATTTGAAATGCGATTTAAAAAAATCCAAAAATGGTCAAATTTGAATGAGCGATTCTGGAAAAATGGTAGGAATTATCGAAGAAATGAGGCCAAAAGAAACTTCTGGAAGTCGAAATATGCAAGAAAATGTCTTTGATTAACTTTCGAAAGTGGTGGAAAAATTCTGAAATTTTGGTGCTGCATTGAAAAATTTTAGTTTTGAAAGAGTTGTCTAAAAATCCTAAAAAAATTCTGAGATATAGATTTTGACGTACTGATTCCAAAAATATAACAGTTTTGTGGTCTCAGGGCAAGATTTTAGAAGTATTCAGGTTGAAGTGCAATTTTTTTAAAAATTCAAAAAATGGTCAAATTTCAATGGACGATTCTGGAAAAATGGTAGGGGTTATTGAAGAAAGGAGGTCTAAATGTACAAGAAAATGTATTTGGTTAAGTTTCAAAAGTGGTAGAAAAATTTCGAAATTTTCGTGTACATAATTAAAAAATTTTGAGTTTGGAAAAGTTGTCTAAAAATCCTCAAAAAATTCTGGGACATAGATTTCGACGTGCTAATTCCAAAAATACAGCATTTTTCTTAGCCCAGGGCAAGATTTTAAGAATATTCAATTTGAAATGCAATGTAAAAAAAATCCAAAAATGGTCAAATTTGAGTATTTACGCGATTCTGGAAAAATGGTTGGAATTATCGAAGGAATGAGGCCAATAGAAACTTCTGAAAGTCGAAATATACAAGAAAATGTCTTTGGTTAACTCTTGAAAGTGGTGGAAAAATTTTGAAATTTTGGTGCTGCATTGAAAAAATTTAGTTTTGAAAAAGTTGTCTAAAAATACTAAAAAAAATTCTGGGATAGAGCTTTTGACGCGCTGATTCCAAAAATATAGCGTTTTTGTGGTCTCAGGGCAGATTTTAGAAGTATTAAGGTTAAAATTTAATTTTTTTTAATCCAAAAAACTGTCATATTCAATGGGCGATTCTGGAAAAATGGTACGAATTATAGAACAAATGGAGCCAAAAGTAGCTTCTGGAAGTCGAAATGTACAACAAATATCTTTGCTTAAGTGCAAAAGATGCTCGAAAAATTTCAAAATTTTCGTATAAATGAAAAATTTTGGTTTTGAAGAAGTTGTCTAAAAATCCTAAAAAAATTCTGGGATATAGATTTCGACGTGCTAATTTAAAAAATATAGCGTTTTTATTCACCCGGGGCAACATTTTAGAAACATTCAATTTTAAATGCGATTTAAAAAAAATTCAAAAATGGTCAAATTTGAATGAACGATTCTGGAAAAATGGTAGGAATTATCGAAGAAATGTGGCCAAAAGAAACTTCTGGAAGTCAAAATGTACAAGAAAATGTCTTTGATTAACTCTTGAATGTGGTTGAAAAAATCCGAAATTTTCGTATAATGTATTGAAAAATTTTGGTTTTGAAAAAGGTTATCTAAAAATCCCCAAAAAAAAATCTGAGACATAGATTTTGACGTGCTCATTACAAAATATAACGTGTTTATGGTGTTAGGGCACGATTTTAGAAATATCCGAGTTGATGTGCAATTAAAAAAAAATCTGAAAATGGTTAAATTTGAATGGGCGATTCTGGAAAAATAGTAGGAATTATCAAAAGAAATGAGGCCAAAAGAAACTTCTGGAGGTCGAAATTTACAAGAAACTGACTTTGGTTCAGTTTAGAAAATGGTCGACATATTCGAAAATTTTCGTATAAATGAAAAATTTTGGTTTTGAAAAAGTTGTCTTAAAATCCTCAAAAAATTCTGAGATGTGGATTTCGACGTGCTAATTCTAAAAATTCAGCGTTTTTGTTGGCCCAGGGCAAGATTTTAGAAATATTAAATTTGAAATCAAGTTAAAAAAAATCCAAAAATGGTCAAATTTGAATATTTAGGCGATTCTGGAAAAATGGTAGGAATTATCCAAGAAATGGGGCCAAAAGTAGCTTCTAGAGGTCGAAATGTACAAGAAAATGTGTTTGGTTAACTTTCGAAAGTGGTCGAAAAATTCTGAAATTTTCGTATGTATTGAAAAATTTTGGTTTTGAAATAGTTGTTTAAAAATCCTCAAAAAAATTTGAGAAATAGATTTTCAGGTGCTGATTCCAAAATATAACGTGTTTATGCTGCAGGGACAAGATTTTAGAAACATTTGGTTTGAAATGCAATTTTTTTAAAAACCCAAAAAACTTTCATATTTCAATGGGTGATTCTGGAAAATTGGTAGGAGTTATAGGACAAAAGGGAACCAGAAATAACTTCTGGAGGTTGAAATGTACAAAAAAATAGTAGAAGATGGTCGAGAAATTCCAAAATTTTCGTATTAATAAAAAATTTTACTTTTGAAAAAGTTGTCTAAAAATCTTCAAAAAAAAAATCTAAGGTATAGATTTTGAAGTGATGATTGCAAAAATACAGCGTTTTTATTGACCCGGGGCACGATTTTAGAAATATTCAATTTGAAATGCGATTTAAAAAAAAATCCAAAAATGGTCAAATTTGAATATTTAAGCGATTCTGGAAAAATGGTTGGAATTATCGAAGGAATGAGGCCAAAAGAAACTTCTGAAGTCGAAATATACAAGAAAATGTCTTTGATAAACTTTCAAAAGTGGTGGAAAAATTCTGAAATTTTGGTGCTGTATTGAAAAATTTTGGTTTTGAAAAAGTTGTCTAAAAATCCTAAAAAAATTCTGAGATACAGATTTTGACGTGCTGATTCCAAAAATATAACATTTTTGTGGTCTCAGGGCAAGATTTTAGAAGTATTCAGGTTGGAATGAATTTTTTTAAAAAATTCAAAAAATGGTCAAATTTCAATGGACCATTCTGGAAAAATGGTACGGGTTATTGAAGAAAGGAGGTCTAAATATACAAGAAAATGTATTTGGTTAAGTTTCGAAGGTGGTAGAAAAATGTCGAAATTTTCGTGTAGATAATTGAAAACTTTTGAGTTTGGAAAAGTAGTCTAAAAATCCTCAAAAAATTCTGGGACATAGATTTCGACGTGCTAATTCCAAAAATATAGCATTTTTCTTAGCCCAGGGCAAGATTTTAAGAATATTCAATTTGAAATGCAATTTTAAAAAAATCCAAAAATGGTCAAATTTGAATATTTAGGCGATTCTGGAAAAATGGTAAGAATTATCGAAGAAATGAGGCCAAAAGAAACTTCTGGAAGTCCAAATATACAAGAAAATGTCTTTAATTAACTTTCGAAAGTGGTGGAAAAATTCTGAAATTTTGGTGCTATATTGAAAAATTTTGGTTTTGAAAAAGTTGTCTAAAAATCCTAAAAAAATTCTGGGATAGAGCTTTTGACGTGCTGATTCCAAAAATATAGCGTTTTTTGTGGTCTCAGCAAGATTTTAGAAGTATTAAGCTTAAAATGTCCTTTTTTTTTAATCCAAAAAACTGTCATAATTCAATGGGCGATTCTGGAAAAATGGTACGAGTTATAGAACAAATGGGGCCAAAAGTAGCTTCTGGAAGTCGAAATGTACAAAAAATGTCTTTGGTTAAGTGTAGAAGATGATCGAAAAATTCCAAAATTTTCGTATAAATGAAAAATTTTGGTTTTGGAGAAGTTGTCTAAAAATCCTCAAAAAATCCTGGGATATAGATTTCGACATGCTAATTACAAAAATACAGAGTTTTTATTGGCCCGGGGCAGATTTTACAAATATTCAATTTAAAATTGAATTTAAAAAAAAATCCAAAAGTGGTCAAATTTGAATGGTCGATTCTAGAAAAATGGTAGGAATTATCGAAGAAATGAGACCAAAAGAAACTTCTGGAGGTCGAAATGTCCAAGAAAATGTCTTTGTTTAAGTTGCGAAAGTGGTCGAAAAAATTTTGAAATTTTCGTATATTTTCGTATTGAAAAATTTTGGGTTTGAAAAAGTTATTTAAAAATCCTCAAAAAAATCTGAGTATAGATTTAAACGTGGTGATTCCAAAATATAACGTGTTTTTGGTCCTGGAATAAGATTTTTGAAATATTCGGGTTGAAATGCAATTTTTTAAAAAATCCAAAAAAATGTCATATTTCAATGGGCGATTCTGGAAAATTGGTAGAAGTTGTAGGACAAATGGAGCCACAAGTAACTTCTGGAAGTCGAAATGTACAAAAAATGTCTTTGGTTAAGTGCAGAAGATGGTTGAAAAATTCCAAAATTTTCGTATAAATGAAAAAATTTGGTTTTGGAAAAGTTGTCCGAAAATTCTGGAGTACAGATGTCGATGTGATAATTCCAAAAATACAGCGTTTTTATTGGCCCGGGGCAAGATTTTAGAAATATTCAATTTGAAATGGAATTTAAAAAAAAATTCAAAAGTGGTCAAATTTGAATGGTCGATTCTGGAAAAATGGTAGGAATTATCCAAGAAACGAGGCCAGAAGAAACTTCTGGTGGTCGAAATACACAAGACAACATCTTTGGTTAATTTTCGAAAGTGGTCGAAAAATTCCGAAATTTTCGTAATTGAAAAATTTTGGATTTAAAAAAGTTATTTAAAAATCCTCAAAACATTCTGGCATATAGATTTTGACGTGCTGATTCCAAAAATATAGCGCTTTTGTGGTCTCAGGGCAAAATTTTAAATTTATTCGGGTTGAAGTGCAATTTTTTAAAAAATCCAAAAAACTCATATTTCAATGGGCGATTCTGGAAAAACGGTAGGAGTTATAGAACAAATGGAGCCAAAAGTAACTTCTGAAGGTCGAAATGTACAAATAAATGTCTTTGGTTCAGTTTAGAAAATGGTCGAAAAATTCCAAAATTTTCGTATGAATGAAAAATTTTGGTTTTGGAAAAGTTGTCTAAAAATTCTCAAAAAATTCTGCGATATAGATTTTGACGTGCTAATTCTAAAAATACAGCGTTATTATTAATTGGGTCGGGGCACGGTTTTAAAAATATTCAATTTGAAATGTAATTTAAAAAATAATTCAAAAATCGTCAAATTTGAATGGGCGATTCTGGAAAGAGGGTAGGAATGAACGAAGAAATGATGCCAAAATAAATTTCTGGAGGTAGAGATATGCAAGAAAATGTCTTTGGTTAACTTGCGAAAGTGGTCGAAAAATTCTGAAATTTTGGAATATTTCCGTATTGAAAAATTTTGGTTTAGAAAAGTTATTTTGTGGGTGTTCGGATTTCACTTGCGGCCAGTATAAAAATGCTCAAAAAATTTGAGATATAGATTTTGACGCGATGCTTCCAAAATATAACGTGTTTTTGGTCCTGGAATAAGATTTTAGAAATATTCAGGTTGAAATGCAATTTTTTTAAAAATCCAAAAAACTGTCATATTTCATTGGGCGATTCTGGGAAATTGGTAGGAGTTATGGGACAAACGGAGTCAAAAGTAAATTCTGGAGGTCGAAAGGTACAAAGAAATGTCTTAGGTTAAGTGTAGAAGATGGTCAAAAAATTTCAAAATTTTCTTATAAATGAAAAATTTTAGTTTTGAAAAAGTTGTCTAAAGATCCTCAAAAAATTCTGGGACATAGATTTCGACGTGCTAATTCCAAAAATATAGCGTTTTTATTGGCCCGGGTCAAGATTTAATGAAAATTCGGTCCGACATGCAATGTTTAAAAAAAAAACTAAAAAATAATCAATTTCAATGAGCGCTTCTAGAAAAATCATAGGAATTATCGAAAAAATGAGGCCGAAGGTAACTTCTAAAAGTCGAAATAACAAGAAAATATCTTTGTTTTGGACGTGATCGAAAAACTCCGAAATTTAATAATTTTGGTTTTAAAAAAGTTGTCTAAAAATCCTCAAAAAATGTTGAAATAAAGATTTCGACGTGCTGATTCCAAAAATACAGCGTTTTTATTGACCCAGGGCAAGATTTTAAAAATATTCAATTTCAAATGCAATTTTAAAAAAATCCAAAAATGGTCAAATTTGAACGGGCGATTCTGGAAAAATAGTAGGAATTATCGAAGAAATGTGGCCAAAAAAACTTCTGGAGGTCGAAATGTACAAGAAAATGTCTTTGGTTAACTTTCAAATGTGGTCGAAAAATTCCGAAATTTTCGTACAATGTATGTATTGAAAAATTTTGGTTTTGAAAAAGTTGTCTAAAAATCCCCAGAAAAAATCTGAAACATAGATTTTGACGTGCTCATTCCAAAATATTTTATAATATTATTTCAATGGCCGATTCTGGAAAAATGGTAGGAATTATCGACAAATGGGACCGAAAATAACTTCTAGAGGTCGAAATAGTCAAGAAAATGTCTTTGATTCCGTTTCGAACGTGGTCGAAAAATTCAATAATTTAAAAATTTTAATTTTGAAAAAGTCGTCTAAAAATCCTCAAAAAAATTTGCGAATATAGATTTCAATGTTCCGATTTTAAAAATATGGCAGCCGCGGGTAAGATTTTCGAAATATTCGCTTTGGAATGCAGTTTAAAAAATCCAAAAAATTGTTTTAGTGAAGTAGTTACATGTAAATGAACTGCGTATTTTTCTTATTTTGAAACTTTTACTTTTGAAAAAATATTCTGTATTATTATTATTTTCATTAGCGTTAATCGCATTAGATCCAATCCAGCTACGTTGTTCTAATCATCGGCTCAAAACTGATTAATTGGAGCGGAGTGTGCTGTAAATGTTTAGTCAGTTCATTGACGTCGAACCTTGAGCTGCATATAAAATGAGGTTATGTTTACACATGTGGCTAAAGCAAGGGTTGAAAGCTTCGGCAGCTTTTAGGTTTAATAAAGGTCATTGATAACCAAATATATATTTTTTCCCGATTCCCGTTAAGTCAGTTTATCAATAGTATTTTCTTTTTTAATATATATACAATTTAAAGCATATTTTTGTATTTTGGTTTGACGAAACAATAAAAAAATTGATTTAAAAATGAAATATGAAAACAACGTCCGCTTGCAGTGGCAATAATAATAATTCTAGTGATTTTGATATGGACAATTTAAAATTAATGAAATTGCTACATTGCCAACATTAAAAAAATAAATACATGATTCCTTTCTGAACTAAAAATCGACAAAATAAATCGCTTCATTCAAGCAATTCCAAAAAACTAAATAATGTTTCTGCAGCAGAAATTCTAACTTTCCTTGTTAACGTCACCATCCTTCTCAGGAGACGTATAAAACAAATTTAATTAAAGCAGGCTGTGACATAACCATGTTGTGCCAGACAAGTTAATCACAGTTGCCTAACAACATTTTGCAGTGACGTCATAAATTTTGCGGAGGAGATCAATACACAAATTTTGGCCAACGTTCTCTCGTCTTAATGGTTATTACCGCCAGAGTTTCAAGGTAATCGATTTTGGCTTATGTTGGTCTAATATAAACGTCAATACACGACAAACGGCAAACATATGGCAGACACATGGAAACGGGAAACATACATTTTTATATACGAGCTGTAAAACGCATAAACCTAGATATTCATAAAGAAAAAAAATAAATATTATTTTTATTATATATTGTATTTATTTATTAGAGTGAAATTCTTCACCATGTGTATATTACCACGTTGTAACTACTTAAAACAACAAATGTCAAACCAGGCCTATAATTTTCGACCACGCTCTTTAGTACTGTTGTACTTTTGCTTTCACTAATCTTCGAAAAATTCAAAAAATAAACTTTCTGTGAGACATGCTTAAACCCACACTCGAACATCAACTTACATCGAAAAGGGCGCAGTGAGGTAAAAGGCGCTGCTTTGAGTGGAAGCATGGTGTCTCACGTGCACCGTGAGCCCCGGCGACTGCCTCAGCTTCGACAGCAGCCACAGCAGCACGGAGTCCTCGGCGCCGGGCGGGAAAACAACAACAACGTCGCAGTTCGGCGTCGAGACGCGCTTCAGCCAGAGCCGCTTGGGGGCGAGGAAGTGGCCAGCGCAGGGGATCTTCTTCTTGAGGAGCTCGGAGGCTGCGGAAAGGGGGCTTTGGTGGCGGAGCGACGACCCACCGAACTCACCTTGCTCGATTTTTTCTTGGGCGCACTCGACCAACTTGCGGCGACGTAGATGGCTGGCAGCGTCCGATTCTTGCGTCGCCATTTCACCCTCATTTGACATTCGAAACCACCGGAATATCAGTCGCGATCACGCAAGAGGAAGTAATCAATGAGAATGCTAATGTTAGGTAATAGGTTCACGTTACGCCTACTTTTGACATAACGCCATTTTTGAAAAGTGTCACTTGTCAAGTGTCAATAGGCCGCAGCGGCAGGGCCGGATTAGGGGCTTCGTTCTTCGTATTTTTTATAGCAGGTGGAGATTAAAAAATAAAAAGGGTTTATTCTGTGTTTGTGGCATGCGTAGAGTAGAACACTCACTCACAAATTTAAAATCGTAAAAGTCGGTCCAAGAAATGTTAGCATTTTTTTACCAAAACATTATTTTAGTTCCAGGCTGAACGAACGCCTTCAATTAAAATATATTCTGCAGCATAAAGTTCATTTTTGGTTTTTTTGACCCCGAAAAAAATCTCTAGGTTTTAATAAGTGCGTCTCTGTCCATCGTAGGAAGGTTGAAGTTAGCCGCAGACTGACATTTGAATTAACTCATTCTACGACTTCCAAGCATTTTTTTACAAAGATACGTTTATCTACTTCAAGTATACGTTCGTGTTGTTTATCTGGTCCACTACACACTGACTACAGTAAAAAAAAAAAACAAAAATCAAAATTTCAATCTGAAGCTAACTTCACTCACATAATAATATTAAGCTCCATCTCCTTGCTCTACACGGTGACATTAACTTGAAAGTTAGCATAAATAAGATCCACGTTATTAAAACACACAAAACACAACAATTTCGGGGTTCAAAACTTGTTTAAATAACCGCTTAATAGTGGAGTCAAGATCTAGCCCAGTGGTGCCAACTTAAACACCCCTTAGAAAAAAAATCATTCAATTTAATAGGTTAGTCATACAAAAATAGTTATATACAAACAATACTTAAATGCATATTTATCGATTCGTGCTGTTCACGTCGAACAAAGTCTCATCCTCTTCGTCCTCTTCCAGTGGAAGCGGAGTCATTTCAATATCGCTGCGCCGGGTTCTCACCCCGTATTTGCTCACCATCACGGGATGTCTACCCCTTTTCCTACAAAAAAACCGTCACACTCGCCTTCAAGCACCCACCAACTTACCCGCAATAAGTCTTCAAGGCCATATAAATAATCACTAGGGTTGTTAAGGCTACGATTACAGATACACCCCTCAACAGGGCGCCTGATTCCATCTCCGTAGTTTTTAGAACTTGGTGTTCCTCCACCTTCGTCGCGTTTTTTGCTGCTGGTGCTTGACTTGTACTTTTTTTCTCGATTGGTGTCTTCGATTCTGGTGGTTTCGATTGCACTTCATTGTTTTTCTTTTTACTGTCGATCTTTATGACTACGGGGCTTTCTTTCTTGTTCGATTCGTCTGTGTTGGAATTGGGTGCATCGTTCTGAGGTGGGATGTTGACCCCCGCTAATAAATGCCGGGTTATGTGTGAAGTTTCATCAGCGCGGATGGTGCAGGTTAGGTGACATACAAAAATTAACACAAATAATGGAGACATTGGGTAAATTAACAATAACTAGAATAAACCGTGGAGACTTTTAAATCACATTTCACCTTTTTGCGCTACTTTTTTATTAGAGTGGACCCCACATTAACATCGTCATGAAGTGTCACTTGTCAAAACGCACCTGCTTAACCAACATGACTATCGCGAAAAGTTCTATTAGTTTATTTGCTTTAAAAAAATCAACAACTGAGCAAATAAACAGCGAAATTGTGTCAATTACTTGGTAAACAACGCTTTCGTCACATTTCGCGATAATTTGGGTTTGGGATTTACCCACTCAAACATTGTTGGGGATCAATCTGTCGGAAAGAAAATTTACCACGAACGCAATTTAGCAGAAAAAGCGATACTCGAACACAAGGGTTGGTTTAAAAAAAAAACTTTGATTTTCCGCTGCGCTCAATATTTCGAGTTTTTTTAATTATTGGAGTTGGCAGCCCTGCCTCGCCGTACCAACCGCAACCGCCAAACGCCAAAACCAGATGTCATTCGAAGGTTGTGGTCCGAAGACATCGCAAAACGCAAATTTCCAAGTGTTTTCAACCGATTAAAGACATGGCGTTGAACGCGTCGTCCAAATTGCTCCGTGTGGTGTCCCCCTTGCGGACTGTCACCGCCGCCTACCACCCCAACGTGATCGACCACTACGAGAACCCCCGCAATGTCGGCTCCCTCGACAAGAACGACGTCACCGTGGGCACGGGACTCGTGGGGGCCCCGGCCTGCGGCGACGTGATGAAGCTCCAAATCAAGGTGGACGAGAACGGCAAGATCATCGACGCCAAATTCAAGACGTTCGGTTGCGGCTCGGCCATCGCCAGCAGCTCCCTGGCCACCGAGTGGGTCAAGGGAAAGACGGTCGACCAAGCCCTCGAGCTCAAGAACACCGACATCGCCAAGGAGCTGTCGCTGCCCCCGGTCAAGCTGCACTGCTCCATGTTGGCCGAAGACGCAATCAAAGCCGCCTTGTCGGACTACAGGATCAAGCAAAAGAAGAAGGAGAATTAGGTTAAGGAACGAAGGTTGTGATATGTAAATTCGTAAAGTTGTAGTCTGATTACGTGAAATTTAATGTTTGTAGAAATAAAAAATGTCGGAAAAATGTGTCATCTCGGGTTCTTTCCGTGGTGCTGACCTTGGGCGGTGCGGATCGTTATGCACTTTTTGTCCAAGAACGCCAATAAATCCTGGAATTTACCCAGTTACTATGGTTACGACCCATTAACGTGACTTACTTGAATGTTGAATTTAAAACCTTGGTCCTTGAGCATGGAGTGTAAAACCTCCAGTTGGAGGGGTTCATATAATAAAATGTTTTCTCGGATTTTGGGGTTGCTCATCACGAAATTGTGCCACGCTATGTGTAACGGTAGCGCACAGGTTGCGAATTTTTTTGATTGCTTCCTCTCCAAAATAACTTCTCCTGGGTCTCCCACATCTCCAACCAGGTTTCCATATTGGGGGTAATGAGTTCGTCTTTTCTTCGCGGCGTGGTTTTCATCCCCTATTATAGGGTGCGTGGATTCGTAAATGTACTTCAACAACTTCGCCCCCTTTTGACGTTTAAGGGGTTTAAGTCCGTATCTGTCCAACTCTTTGGTGATTTTTGGAGTATCCATGTCGTCGTAGTTAGCCATAGGGGTGACGTTTTTGGTTTTGATGACGAAAGAAGCGTTGGAGGTGGAGGGGGTGTCGTTGGAGGGTACGTGACTGAGGACTTCATTGAATGAGTCATCGAGAGTGGGAGTGGTTGCTATTCGGGAGGTTTTATTAGAAATGTGGGGGAAGTTATCAGTACATAAATTGGTCAATGGGAGTCTTGACGGTGTTTCTTCTTTGCATTTTTTTGTAATTCTTTTTTCTAGAGAAGCCCCAAACTCCTCATCCTCCGACAACTCATATTCCACTTTTTTTGTGGCAAGTGGGGTACTAAACACGCTGGAGTAGTTCAATTCATCGTCACTTATACACACACTGCTTTGACTTTGTTGTGAGTCGTCTTCACTCGCGCTTATTTTTTCTAATTTTTTGATTGGAGGAGGTTCATCTTTGCACTGACTCAGTAGATTGTGGACGTACTCAGTAACGTTGAGGTCCGACCGGCGACCAATCGAATCCTCAGAGTTTGACAGGTTCAAATGAAAGGACTTTTCTTCTTCGTTATCTGATTGGGTTAAATCGTAGCATTCTATTTCTTCCACTTCTAAATCTTGACCCCCTCTTAAGCGATTTGGGGATGGTTCAACATCTGAGTCAAATAAATCTGGTGACAAGCAATCACGGGATCTTTTATTGCGTTGGGGAGGAGTTCGTTGAGAATTCGATGATGTGTTGACAAGGGGAGAAGTTATTGGGGGACTTGGAGGATGTGCCCATAATTCTGAAGGAGACAATAAGTTATCTGCAAATTTGGGGGTAAAATCTCCACCACATTCTAAATTCGGACTAGTGTGTAAAGATCGAGGCGTTTCGATTCTGGGAGAAATCTTACCCAAAATTGGAGAAGTTACTTCTGGGCTTAACCTATATTTGCCACAATCGACGTTTGTGGGTTCATAAGCTTCAATAGAATCTCCCAAATCTACGATACTCACATCATTATTTTCTTCAAAGGGGGAATTATCAATTTCGCTACAACTTAATTCCAGTGTCACAATCGAACTGCGCCGTTTGCTGGACGTGGAGGGTAAATTCTCCAACCTGGGAGGACTTACTTTTGGAGATTCTGTGTACACGGGCGGAGTTACATTAGGCTCCGGACTGCGTTCACGCCCCGGAATGGCCGTCCAATCCCTCAGCAAACAACCACAAGGGGCGTGGCTACGTTCGACGCCCAACCCCCGCACGTAAAATACATCCCCGTTTTGTAGTTCCCCGACATCTAAACAATTGATTTTAAATATTTTTTGACAACTGAATTTTCGCAGACTTTCGCAAAATAACTCTTCACATTTTCGGGGGTTATTTTCAACCGGTTTTCGATTATTTTGTGCTAAAATCAACGACACTTTGGATGAAATTAACTCTTCGCGCTCTTCTGTAGTGCGAATTTTTAAAATTGGGGTTATGAAACGATATCGTGACTTTTTGTTTATTTTTTTGTCAGATGGGTCTTTTCTGTTTGCCACAGAGACCCTGCTTTTGGAGTAACCGAATCCGAATTTTTCAAACGCGAGTTTAAACGAGTCCTTTTTGTCCTGCGAACTGGGGTTTTCGGCTTGGTAGGTGGATTCAGACAAAGCTAAGGCCATTTGGAGGTGGTCTGGGTTGACATCGCTGTGCCTCAAGTTGTTCTCGACGAACTTGCGTAGAGGCAATTGGCGCGACTTTTTTTTCCGCGCTGGTTTTTCTACGGGCTTTGGGGCAATTTTTGATATTTTGTTGATCGCTTGAGGGGTTTTAAAATCGTCTAAGTCACTCGCGGAGTCGTTCAGTTTCACACTTTTCACTTCACTCAAACAGTTCCGGTATGGGGAGTCTGATAATTCGTCGGAATTATCGGAATCAGCTTTTTTTGGAACAGAGAAATATTTCGAGATCTTCTTTACGCCTCGCTCGCTGAATAAAACAACATTTTAACTACGTTATTTATTTAGGGCTACTATTTACACAAACCTAGGTTTTTTCGTGGTTTTGTTAGACGTCGGGGCTCGTGAAGTATTTACTGTACCACGGCTGCCGCCTCGTTTCTTCCTTGTAGAGTTCATCTTCTTTGGCCACTTCTCGTGCTTTCAACTGACTGATCAGCTGCCAGTACCCCGGCTGAGTTGCTGATAATTTAGCTTCCAAAAAACGCGTTTTGATCTCTGGTGGTGTATCGAATTTGCCTTCGCGGAAGCTTTTCTTCAGTTTTTGGGACTCAGGCCACAGTCTGAAAAATCTTGGGTGAAAATTTGGTTGATAAGTTAGGTTATGTTTACTCATAAAGCATCCAGAAAACTCCCCCGATTGCTAGAACACCAGCTGCGTACCAGTTTCGTTGGACGAAAAACGGCGTTCCTTTAGTTCGTCGTGGTTTCCTGATCGATTCGTCAATATTTCGGTTCGGATTTGCCATATCAACATTGAGTGACCATAACCTCACTTATTTGAATTTGTTTGTGGTTTTTGTCACGACAGGCGCTGCTAGTGCAGACGCACATTTACAACTAGAGTCAAACACGGGTTTCATGTTTTATATTTAATTTATTAATTTTCATACATAATGGAAGCAATACAATCTTCAATAATACCATGCATCACTTTACACAATGTTGCCGATCAAGACCCTATTCAACTACACTTGAACAAGTATCAAGCTTGGAAATGAGCATCTCTTATCACAATATAAGGATTTATGTTTCACACAAAGCACATAACAAATATAGTTCTCTTATTAGGCGATTTATATATAACAAATGACCTACATTAACGTGGCATTGTAAGAGACAAAAGCCACCGAATAACATAAATAGATATAAGATATAACAGAGATATAACTACAACTTGATTATGTATAAGAATAAATGACGAATAAAAATAAAAAGGGGACGAGTTTCGGAGATTCCAAGTGCAAAAAAGTGGCTAAAACAGTATTGTACATTAAAGTTCCGGGAATCTCCAATAGGAATGTCGGCTCTGCTATTCCTCGCAGATATCCTCTAGTCAAGCAATCGCTTTGGCTTGGGGCAAGAAAGCCTCCCAGTACTTGACAAGCTACAACACCCCCGTGAATCTAGTAACATTCACTTTCCCCCAGACTCACCTGCGCCTGGTGATTTAGATGATTCTCCAAATACTTAATGAACATCATTTTGAAATCGTGAATGCGACACTTCTCGAACCTCTCCACTTCCGTCTTGATCATTTTCGAAATTTTATCGAAATTTTCCTGCCCGCGTTCCACCTTCGCCTCCCACTAAACTAGAATTAGTAACTTTTCTACTAGGTTGGCACCACTCACCTCTATGACTTCCGCGCCAGCTTGATCCACTTTATCAGTTCTGTTGGTGAGCTCCATTTTCGCTTTGGCTTCGCGTTTTTTGGCCAGCATTTGTTGCGAGTGCTGCCAGTGCTGGAAAAGTTTAGTGCGTTCGTGAAAAGCGTCCCTGACGGCCCCCAGGAGCCCCAAGTAATCCTTGAGAATCTCGCACAGAATGAAGAAATCCGTATTGGCTTGTTCTAGGTGCAGGGCTTCCACTTTCTCTTCGGTGTCGGCCAAGTGAGACAGCGCCATCGAGAGAGAGTTGTGGTCTTCGCAAGCACTCAACATGGCGGCGGAACGCGAGACGCCGTTGGTCAAGTGACTCAGTTCTTTGCGGTAGGAAACCATGGCCTCCACGTTGGCGTGGAGTTTGCGCAGCTGCGTCTCGAGGGCTTCGATGTGGGTTAGTCGGTCTTCGAACCACTAAATCAAGGTTGGTAACAATTCGATTACGACTATACAAAACTCACCGGGTCTGTTTCGTCCATCTTGTACGTGATTTTGTTGACAGTCTCGCCAACCTTGTTAAAGAGCCGCATCACGCCTGCGCTACTTAAAGCCGAAGTGCTTGTGGCTTTGGGGAGTTCCACGTCGGACTCCAAAAACTCCCTAAAGTCGGGGTCCACCACTAAGACGGGGTGTTGCGAAGTGCGCTTTAAGTAGCGCTCCAACGAGGCCCTTCTGCGCTCCACGAAGTCGCTTCCGTTCGAGGGGCTGCCTTCGGGTTGACTCGACATCTTTATTTTCGTCATTCCGATGACGCTCTTTTCGGGCGCAGGCGGGATAATCCGCCCCACTTTTAAATACTTTTCGGATAGTTTGTCATGGAGACCCAGGAAGTCGCTGAAGCGCCTCGTCACCGAAAACTCGCGCTTTTTGAAGATGGGCATGTTGGTTTTTGTTGTGACGCGGTACGCCATGTAAGCCCCCATCCCGTCGCCCACTTTCTGGGGCTCGGTGATGGAAATATCGAGGAACTGGTCGCCACTAGCTGCCTCCACCTGACAAAATTGACGACAAATCTGATTGTTGGAAACTTTTCAAAATATATATTTTTTTACAATAGTACCAACTTTGCAATTTTGCCAACATTATATTTAGGATAGTTCTGCGCATGCGTGATCGACCGCAAAATTCCCGCGACGCCAAAAACCACAACCAGGAAAATTTTTTTATTTAGTCTTGGACTTGTATGAAACGACAATCTCATGGACTCAAGCGGATCAAAACAAAAATCTGTTTGCATTAAAATATAATCCACAAAAATGTAAAAAATTTTCGTTTAAACTTGCTAAAAAAAAGTATCAATTTTTGATAGAGTTCACAAACAAGCAACACAATTAAAAAAAAAAAAAGTGGTGGGGAAAGTCAAAATGGCCGACCCTTGAGACACGATTATTAGTTGACTGTGCTCTCTTCCCTTCCTCAGAAACAGTTTTTTTAAGTTAAACTAACACAGGAATTAGCCATTTTTCATAGTTATCACATACTTACTGCCACCATTAGCAATAAAAATGAAACCATGTGTTTTTTACACACCATTGCTAAGTAAACAACATTCACGCGGCAGATTACCTGTTCCAGGGTGTCTTGGGTCCCGCTGTTGCTGATGGGTACATTTTCCAGCTCAGACTTCTGGTCGTCGAGGGACAAATTGCTCAAGTCGGCTTCGCCGTTGAGGTTTTCCTGTGGCGCGCCATGGTAGGGCTCGGACTGCTCCTGAGGCAGGTAAATGGGGTTATCGGGGATCTTTGGGGTAACAAAGGGCTCACCTGTCGGGCTGAAATGAACAGATCGTCGTCCTCTTTCTGGTCAGACAGGATGTCCACATTTTCAAATAAAGGGGGCGGTTCTACCGGATCTGCCATTATTCGAAGTTATCAGATGATAAGAATTATGAAGTGGACAAATGTTTGACGCGGCCGGTTGAGTCGATGATGTATGACATATGACAAGTATGACGTATGTCAACAGGGAAATAACTTGTGGGGCGAGTAGTGGCTCCCCTGCGGTTGGTTATAAAACTAAAACGGACACATGTAGCGCCAAGTTTCAATTTTATTAAAAAACTCGTTCTTTGGGTGAAATTTCTATAAGTCATGATTTTTTTCCAGTATAATGAAAGCGAGAGGGTTTGTTGATTTGTTAGTGCAAGCAGGGCTACCAATGCACATACTGTGTTTATACTCTAAAACAAATAAAGAAAAATCGTGTTTAGATTATCAGTAGTAGTTAAATTATGTAACAAGAGAAAGTGTGCCCCAAAATAAACGAAAGTGTAATAAACAATGTTTATTTAGGTCTGATTAGTTGTGCTATTTTAGTGACAAAACTGTCGCTTGCACGACTACCAACCGCAAACTTGTCTACATTGCGATGAAAATTGCAAACATTTGCGACTTTTATATCCACCACGACCTCCAAAAAAATACGTGTTGGCGTACAATTCACAAAACTGGCAAAATCGCCATCGATTTAACAAAGTTTGTTGATTAAATGGGCGTGAATTGTCCTAGTGACAAACCCAAAATCCCCAGTGTGCCACGATTGCGTTTCCGTTTACAAATCAAAATCATATGTTTACAATCGATCTCAAATAAATAATAATGTTACAAGAGGATTCAAATGGCGAAGCCTCTTTTGAAATAATCGACAAGAAGCAAGAAGACTCAAACACCGACAAAACAGGTGATGCTTGTCGTAACTTGTGACAACCCACTTTTACCAAAAAATTGTAGAATCAATTAGTAGCGTGTCGTCGCCGTACTCGATACCGTCTCCGGGGGTTGTCACCCTGCCTGGAGGCAACCTACTCTCGAATTTGCCGCCCCCGACGAACCTACCGGATTTCACGCTATGGCAAAACCAGCCGGTTCCAACTGTCCCGGCACCCACTCCTCTGCCCCCAAACTTGTTACCGCCGGTGACTCAGGAGGTTAAACCGGCACCCGCGGTGACAGTCAACGTGCAACCGTTCCCCCAGACACAGTTCAGGTACACGAAAACCCCCAAATGCGTGATTCACACCTAAAATTTTAGCGCTGCCATTCCACCAAGCAAAGGGGTGCAACATGGTCCAGTACCCCCCAGCAACGTGGAACCGAACCTCACGTCCGGGGGTTTCATTGGCTGGATGAAAGACGCAGTTTCCAGTGGCGGTATCTTGTCAAAAGTGGCTGAAAAAGCCAAAAATTCCGTCGACACGCTTATTACGACTCTGGACCCCCAGATGTCGGAGTTCATTTGTATGATTACCAATTCGTGAATAATACATCATAACATACGCAATTCGTAGATTCCGGCGGCGATATTGAAATTGGGGTTGCGTCGCAAGACCCCGACGAAGTTTCCCCCGTTCGAGAGGCCATTTTCTCAGTTTTTGGCAAAGCGTGGGTCAAGTAATAACCATTGCTTGCGTTGTTCTCCGTATATATTTTTTTTATTTCAAGCGGCGTTAATATAAGGAGCAACGACCGCAAACACCAAGCCATTGGGTTCGAAGATGCCATACAACGAGCCGAAGAAAAAATAAAAGCGGCACTACAGATTCAAAAAAGTCCGGTTATCGCAGTGGAGAATTTTATTTTGCAACAGGACGAGCAGTGGTTCGACTTGAGTGTGTTGGTTTTGAGCGATTCTGACAAGGGGATTGTCCTGAGGACGTTCTCGCAGACGACGCCGATTCCGCTGGAGGCGTTTTTGGACCAGGCGGAACTCGAGATGCCTAATTATGCGAAAGGGTGCGAATCGGTGGAAAAATTGTTGGCTGCGTATTTACAGGTTGGCGAAAATGTTGATTAAAGAAGTTTCAATAAAGTTGGAATTTTTAGATTGCTAAAAATAATTGGCAACAAGAAGTCTGCGGGGTTGCCAGAAAAGACACGTTGTTTTTGGCAGCGAAGACACTCGCTACGCTCTACAAGAATAGATTGGTGGGTCCGTGAAGTCCTGAGTACTTATTAAAATTAATTATGCTATAATCGTTGCAGTTTATATTTTATTTAATGTACAAAGTTCAATTTACCAATATAGGCTTTAATATATTTGATTCGGGGTTTATTGCTGTTCAAGGTTTAAATAAACAAAGTCGTGATTAAATGTTTATTTGGTGATTTCGTCGTTACAGAGCGAGTTATCTGAAACAATGTTCACAATACTTAAAATGCTGACTTAGAAATATATGTAATTTGTGTATAGATAACGAAAATCAGAAAACCAATCAGTCACGGACATCAGACTGGGGCGGTAAAGTAGTCATCATTTAATTTAATTTAAAAAAATTAATAGTGAAATTTGAAGGTTAAATTTAACTTGACATTTAGACATTTGACATGAATAAAATAGAATTATTAATATTGTCTCACCTGTAACACTTTCCTCCTGGGCTTCTGGTCACGATTTTTCCACAATCAAGTTTAAATAAGTCTGATTCAACCAATCAGAGCACTGAATTAACCTTGATTGTGTCAAAATGATCACCACCTGTGGACAGTACAAACAAGTGGTTAGTGAAGGTGAGGTTGTCTCTAATCGTCCTTTGGTTACACACATGTACTGGATAACCATACACATGAAAAGAGTTAATGTTCCCACAACGAGCACACCTTTTTCACTATATAACGTGAAACGGCCGGCTTAAAAGTGTGGGGTAATTAATAAGAGTAAAGAACTTACCACCCTTGATTAAACAGGTGACACTCTGAAAAAGAAAAAAAAAATCGTGAAACGTCACATACATCGATTTTTTGATTATTGAAAATAATAATAAATTCAGAATCCTTTTGGCAAACAACATTGTAATTTAAGTTTAAAAATTACTTCAAACAATTAAGTTATCATCATACATGTTTAAAACTTTGCAAAAAAAAATAATAAAAACTTACCACTGCACAATTAACTGGCACAAACTTCACGTTTTAATCTGTAACAACAGAAATTACATTTAATACAACAGAATTACAGATTTTGGTTGTTTTGTTAAGAAAAAGGTCTTCAGACCTGTTGAGCTTAAATTCTACATCCAACACGGTTACATTCTAGTGTAAAAATTCATCATTTTAAGTTTATAAAATTTTGAAAAAATAGTGACACTCACCTCAACACTGTCGCGCTGTGCAGCCACCCGTCGCCTGAAACACTAAACTTTGAACAATACAAACAAAACCCTATCTAACCAATTACAACAAAATGAAAATCCAAAAATAAAAACTTTTGTTTATTCTTAACTTTACGTTAATAAAAACAAATTTCTTATAATTAATCAGTACTATCTAAAAACACAACGACCACATCCGCTGGTAACAATAAAAACATCTTCTAATTCTTGGACAGTGTTTACTTGAAATAATTGTCATTTAATCCATTACAACAGAATGCCGGGAAGCAGAAACAATAAAAATATTACAGCTGATTTGTGTATTTCCACCCTGCCAGTATTATAAAAAGAGAATATAATTATCAATTGTTTTATTTTATAATTTAAGATGAATCTTAAATAAATCTGTACAAACTAAAACCGTTGTTGTTTATAATTTGTCCAAGTATTGTGAAAGATCTGGGAGTCCTTCTTTGAGTCCTTTCCTTTTACGTGTTTCCTGGAAGAAGAAAAACCGTCATTTCTCCACGCCCTTGAATACTTTTTTTTTTAATTTTTGGAGATAATGTTCGTCCCCCTATTCAGGCCAAGAAAACTTTCTCAAGACCGAAACTTTAAAGACTTTGCTCTTCCATCAAAAGCAAACATTGAATTTAATCCAAAACAACGTTGTCTGAAGATGGACGCCCAATTTAAAAATTTTAAGACATACCTGTACAACGCCGAATGGTCTGGTGCTGGGCTCCAACGGGTCACCTGGGAGGATCTGCCAATGGTCGAACACGCACTGCGGGAAAGCTTGACCTCCGGTATTTGATCTAAGATCGGCGGTGAAACCGAACGACTCATTTACAGGCAAGTAGGCTTTGACCACGAACATGGGGGTACCGGCGACCTGCTGTTCTTCAAACACGTGACCTCTCCTTCTGTTCAAGACACCGTAGATACCACCAACGGCGACTTCAGGGCACTGTTAAAACAAAGAAATCCGGTCAAATTAAGCAATACGTCCCTGTTTAAAACCGCCGACTGACCTGAATCTCACACTGATACACGGGCTCCATGAGCCTCGGCGCCGCCGTCAACAGACACGCGTACAGGCAGCGTCTCGTCGTCGGAATGATCTGTCCACCGCCGCGATGGATGGCGTCGGCGTGTAACGTCACGTCGTAGATGTTAAACCTAACCCCTCGCAAGTTCTCCTCGGACAGCACGCCCTCTTTCGTCGCCCACTGGAAGCCGGCGACCACCGAGTCCTTGATTTCGTTCAAATATTGCACACCCTTCGTACAGTCGACCAAGATGTTGGGGCCGGTGCCGTCGGGGCCGAAGCACCAGATCTTTCTCGCCTCGGTCACGTCGTAGTCGTACTTCTCGCCCAAGTAGCGGGCGCGCGACTTGAAATCGTCGCGCGGGTTCACGTTGCCTTCGTCGATGTCCTCGGCGAGACCCTCCGGCATGGGGACGGCCTTCATGAACAGCCTGTTGTGTTTGTTGGGCGACTTGGATAAGCACATCTGGTTGGACTCCTCGCTGACGGTCTCGCGGTAGGACACCACCGGGTCGGATTTCTTGATGGGGATGCAGGCGTGGTCTTCCTCCAGGTCCTTGAGGCAGATCTCCAGGTGGAGCTCGCCGGCGCCGGCGATGATGTGCTCGCCGGATTCTTCAATGATACACTGGACCATAGGATCGGACTTGGCCAGACGCTTCAGACCTACAAGATCAAGACGTCAACGATTGTCGCAGTGACGTGAAATGGATAGGAAAAGTGGAACGGTTTCAGTAAACGTTAACCAATCGTCACAAATTTCGGACTGGGGCGGTATAACGATCATCACAATTAACAATCAATATGACATTTGAAACGTCATTGCAGTCAGTGTCAGCGCCCACTTGGATCTCAGACGTAAGTCTTTGTGAAAACCTGCATAAGTACGCTATGGATGAAATCATCTAGTCAGCTATGAAATTTCAAATTCATGTTGGCAGCAATGCGTTTGACAGTTCAGACAACAACACAAGCACCTACCTTCTACCAGTTTGGGCAAATCGGCTGGATTCTTCGGCTCGACGGCGACGCGCACCACCGGCGACACGCTGAACTTCATCACTCTCAGATTGTGGGCGTCCTTGAACGTGGTGATGGTGCCGGTCTTGACCAAGAACTGGTCGACGCCGACCAGCCCGCAGATGTTTCCGGAGGGCACGTCCTCGATGGCCTCCACGTAGCGCCCCATCATCAAGATGGTGCGCTGGATGGCCTTCTCGTACAGATCCTCCTTCTTGCCAGGCACGTAGTTGGGGCCCATGATGCGGGCCTTCATTCCTGTGGCGACTTTACCCGAAAACACGCGACCGAAGGCGTAGAAACGTCCCTTATCGGAGGTGGGCACCATTTTCGATACGTACATCATGAGGGGGGCGTTGGGGTCGCAGTTCTTGATGCCGATTGCGGCTTCGTCGTCGTGGGGGCCTTCGTATAACATTTCCATTCTGTATTTCTGGGCGGTTACGGGGGATGGGAGGTGGATGGCTATCATCTGGAGGAGGGCCTCGCCGGCGGGCAACCAGGTGCGCATCACGACCTTGAGGAGGGGCTTGCCGTCCTTGTCCTTGTCCTCGTGCTTGAGTTGGATGCCGAGTTTGGGGAACAGGGCTTCGTACTCGTCTTTCCTGGAACGAAAGGGTGGTTAGAGGGGGTGGCGGTGTTGGGGGGTTGTGGGGGTGCAGGGGGCGCTCAGATGGCCGTTCTTTGTGTCATCAAAGTGATCAGAACAGGTCTGTGAATGAACAATCATCATAAAAAGGGGTGATTTTTGATTTTTTAATCAATCAAAACAGGAGGAATGGGGGATGAAGTAGACAGATTCCAAAGTTCGACGATTCTCTAGGTGGAAAAAATGATGCTGATAATTATCATTTAAATTAATAATGAATCATAAGTGTAATTAAAACGTTATCAAGAGATAAAATAGTGTCAATTAAGATTAGTTTATGCATAGTAACAAATCTTACTTGTAGTTCATGATGGTGTCGAAAATTTTATAGATAGGATCCAGAATATACATGCAGAAGGAGCGCTTGTTGTCGGCTTCCTTTTGCTTGGCCCATTTCTTGGTCTTGGGGTTGAAGAAGTTCTCACCCCAGAGTCTGTTCATAAGTTTTTTCACGTCGATCTTGAACTTTTCAGAGTACATTTCAGCGAACTGTTTCAAAGTGAAAGCCCAACCGTGCAAACCAGAACCAAAACCGACCGAACCTTTGCTAGGATCAACCTAATCATAAAAAAAAAAAAAAAATTAAAAAACTATCTGGAACACTTTCTAACATTTAATTAAGACTTTGAAGTTCATTCAAACGAGATTAAAATTGAAAAGAAAGTAACAATGAAAGCAAACTTCAATTATGAATCAAATTTGAAAAAAAAAACCGCCATTTTGTACAAAATAAAAATGTTCCACATCAGGAAACTGTTTTAAACAAAGATCTAAAACAGGGCAAATAGTGGACCTTTTCTGCGAGTCTGCACCAGTTCTAATTGATGCACAATCAGACCTCCCGTGTAGCTCGCCAAAATCGCCCATTTTGACCCCCATACTTACATGAACCTCACCCATGGGTCCACTATCATCAGAATACGTAGCAATAATGACGTTAACGTTCTCAACAATGCGCTGGAAAGTCTGGTACAACTCTTCAGAGTCCAACTGCAATTCCAGCAAAGCCCTGTCCATCTTGTTCATGAACAAAATGGGCTTGATACGTTCGGCGATGGCCTGCCTGAGTACGGTCTCGGTCTGGACACACACCCCTAGCAAATACAAATTAACCCTCTTGCGACAAAAAAAAGTGATGTCGAACTAGCGCCGTAGCGTGCCACACGTGGACATAAAGATAGAGGTCCTGTGGCAGCGTTTAAACGCTAGTACTTTGCTCTCCTTCCATGTGCACTGCCAGCATCGTCTTGGGGCGGCGGAGGCGGCTAGCCGCCCCCGTCGCCCTACAAAGTGGCTCTAGTCGTGCTGGAAGGGCTTACACACGTGCACTTACCTGAGACGCAATCAACCACGACGAGAGCGCCATCAGTGACACGGAGGGCTGCCGTGACTTCCGACGAGAAGTCAACGTGTCCGGGAGAGTCAATCAAGTTGATCAAGAAACCTTTTTCGTCTTTCTCGCGCTGCTCGGTGCTGGTGATGAAGGCGAGATCTTTGTCTTCCAGTTCAAAGAACATGGAGATGGCACTAAAGCAGACATGTCGGGTCAAGCCACTCGAAAAAGTCGTACTCACGTAGATTTGATTGTGATACAGCGCTCCTGCTCGTCCTTCCTCGTGTCCGTGAAGCGCGTTTCCCCAGCCTTGGCCCCGGCGATGATTCCGGCCTTCGACACCAGGGAGTCCGTGAGGGTCGATTTTCCGTGGTCCACGTGAGCGATGACGGACATGTTGCGGATGTTCCGCTTCTTGTCCATCATGGCACGGATTTCGTCGACGGTGAAGTTAACCTGGGGGCCGAGAACTCTTTAACAGATGTCCGGGGCACTGGCGAGTGTCACACTTGCGGCACATTTTTCCGGCGGAAAATACGCGGAAAATGGGGCGCGCAAGGGGCGCAGGGATGATGGGAGCGGTCGAGGTTTGATGCACAGTCGCTATTTGTAAACATAAATACGAAGCCGAGACAGCTTTCATCTTATTGTGCAATCTGGACAAATCGGTCGAAATCCGGCGAAAGTCGCGAAAAATGAAAGAAATATTTTGCGGATGGTGGCGAGGAATGGTCGGGGGATGGTTTAGTGTGGTTGACAAGGGCAAAAGGGACTTACCATCTTGGATGTTTCTTGATTTTCTTCACACACAAAAAAGACGTTACGCCAGCTATGGCGCACTCCCGTGAAAGGAAGATTGACGTGAAGTGGGCTACGAGCTGCCACGCAAAGCGGCGTGACAGGGCGCCAATCGACGAAATGTCCCCAGATTCGGTCACCAGCGACCTCTCACAGAATTTGCCGCAAAAAATCTGTTTTTCCGTTGTAATTTGAAATTTACCGTGGGAGATATCACCAAATTTAAACCAACCCATGAAGATTTGAAGAATCTTTTTTCAATGGTGGAAACCTATACCTCGTTTATTTTCAAAAAGTGACATTCCACTATTAGTAATTTACAGCTTCAATCTCCTGACCCCAGAAATTTACTGCAAAATTTAAATAAAACACGTACTCTGGGTTCTGTATGTTTATTTTTAATTATTAATTACATTTTTGTATAAATACGACTATTTTGTAGGTTTATTCTTAAGTTCGATGCGGAGACCCACACAGGCTTTTTCATGGGTTTCTATCCGGTCTGGGAAAAATTTGCGGCCGCACTTTCTGCATTCTTGAAGTTCCGCCAAATGATTGTCCCATATTCTGTGGAAAGTGCCCACGAAGTCTACGTCACCAGTTGCTGAAAAAAAAAAAGAAAGTATAATGATGTATAATATTTGGTTTTATTTTAATAGTAAATTATAATACTCTTGGAAAATTTCAGTTTTTTCAGAAATTGAAAACAGGTGTTTGAGTATCGTGTTGTTCAAAGAATACTATACATCGATGTTAAGAAAAAAAGGCAAAATATAAACCCCGCCCACCCACCCTATCTCATTTGTGATTATTTTTTTTATAAATTTTTGTAAAGAAATATGGATTTTGCAATTAGGCTCCGCCCCTAGGTTTGCCGACGAATGAAAACTTCATTATTATTTAGATCAGGGCAGTTATGGGTGGGACTTAATCTTTGGTTTTAATTTTTTCTTGATATACATATATGTTCTTTGAATAACACGATACTCAAAAACATGTATTACATGGTCATTTTTTGTATAGAAATAATAAGGATTTTTCAATTAAATTTCGCTCATTTGGCTCTCGACGATAAAAAAAATCATCACAATTGAGATAGGGCGGGTGGGCGGGGCTTATATTTTGCCCGTTTTCTTAATATACGTAGTCGTCTTTTCAGAACAAGAAACTTAAAACGTGTTATAAATAGTAAATTTGTGTAGGGAAACACCGATTTTGCAATCACGCTCCGCCCCTCGGTCCGACAACGAATGAAAAATTCATCACGATTGAGATCGAGACGAATAGGTGGGGCTTCTCTTTTGGTTTTCATTTTTAATTAATACATTTATTAGTTTTCTTTGTATAACACGATTACTTACAAACATATTTAACATGGTAATTTCTCGTAGAAAAATAAAGGTTTTTCAGTCAACCTCCGTCACTCGCCTTACGACGAATAAAAAAAAATCATCAGAATTGAGATAGGGCGGGTGGGCGGGATTTATACTTTAACCTTTTTTTCCTAATATACATAGCCATCTTTTCACAACAAGAAACTTAAAGCATAGTTAAAATAGAACATTTTCGCAAGGAAATATGGATTTTGCAATTAGGGCGGAAATCGATATTTTCTTATACAAATTTTCCATTTTAAACAAGTTTTAAGTTTCATGTTGTGAAAATAAGTCTACACGTATTAAAACAAAAAGACAAAATGTAAGCCCGCCCACCCACCATGTCTCAATTGTAATGGTTTTTTTTATTCGCCGTGAACCGCCGTGAACCAAGGAGCTTAACTGCAAAATAATTATTTTTTTACAAGATATTAAAATCACGTTTTTGAGTATCGTGTTGTTCAAAGACAACTATGTATATTAAGAAAAAAGACAAAATATAAACGCCCACCCATCCACCCCATCGCAATTGTAATGATTTTTTTATTCTTAGTTAATTAAAACACGTTTAAAATGGTACATTTCTGTAAGGAAATATGGATTTTGCAATTAGGCCCCGCCCCTCGGTCTGACAACGAATGAAAAATTTAAAACGATTGAGATCGAGACAGATGGGTGGGGCTTTTTTTTGAGTTTTCTCTTTTAATTAATACATTTAGTTTTCTGTGTTACTTAAGAACATATTTCACATTAGTTTCTCGTAGAAAAATAAGGATTTTACAATTAAACTCCGCCCCTCGGCTTACGACGAATAGGTAAAAAAAATCATCCGAATGGAGATAGGGCGGGTGGGCGGGGCTTATATTTTGTCTTTTAGTTTTCTTAATGTACATAGCCATCTTTTTACAATGAGAAACTTAAAACATGATTAAAATGGTAAATTCTTGTAGACAAATATAAATCTTGCAATTAAGCCCCGCTCCTCGATCTGACAACGAATGAAAAATTCATTACAATTGTGAATTGAGATCGGGGGGGTATGGGTGGGAACTAATCCTTGGCTTTATTTTTTCGTAAAATATGTAGTATTCTTTGAACAATACGACGCTCAAAAACATGTTTTTAATTTCTCGTAGAAAAATAAGGATTTTGCAGTTAAGCTCCGCCTTCTTAGCTCACGACGAATAAAAAAAATCATCACAATTGAGATAGGGCGGGTGGGCGGGGCTTATATTTTGCCCTTTTTCTTAATATACGTAGTCGTCTTTTCAGAACAAGAAACTTAAAACGTGTTAAAAATAGTAAATTTGTGTAGCAAAACACCGATTTTGCAATCACGCTCCACCCCTCGGTCCGACAACGAATGAAAAATTCATCACGATTGAGATCGAGACGAATGGGTGGGGCTTCTCTTTTGGTTTTCGTTTTTAATTAATACATTTATTAGTTTTCTTTGTATAACACGATTACTTACAAACATATTTAACATGGTAATTTCTCGTAGAAAAATAAAGGTTTTTCAGTCAACCTCCGTCACTCGCCTTACGACGAATAAAAAAAAAATCATCAGAATTGAGATAGGCCGGGTGGGCGGGGTTTATACTTTATCCTTTTTTTCCTAATATACACAGCCATCTTTTCACAAAAGAAACTTAAAGCATAGTTAAAATGGTACATTTTCGCAAGGAAATATGGATTTTGCAGTTAGGGCGGAAATCGATATTTCCTTATCCAAATTTTCCATTTTAAACATGTTTTAAGTTTCATGTTGTGAAAATAAGTCTCCACGTATTAAAACAAAAAGACAAAATGTTGAAGTTTCTTCTTTTCACAAGAAGAAACTTCAAACATGGTTAAAATGGTACATTTTTGCAAGGAAATCTGAATAATGGGGCGGAGCCTAATCTAAAATCGATATTTCCTTATACAAATTTTCCATTTTAAAGGTGTTTTATGTTTCATGTTGTGAAAAGAAGTCTAGACGTGTTAAAACAAAAAGACAAAATATGATTTTTTTATTCTTAGAAAATTAAAACACGTTTAAAATGGTACATTTTTGTAAGGAAATATGGATTTTGCAATTAGGCCCCGCCCCTCGGTCTGACAACGAATGAAAAATTCAAAACGATTGAGATCGAGACAAATGGGTGGGGCTTTTTTGGGTTTTCTTTTTTAATTAATACATTTAGTTTTCTTTGTTACTTAACAACATATTTCACATTAATTTCTCGTAGAAAAATAAGGATTTTGCAATTAAGCTCCGCCCCTCGGCTTACGACGAATAAAAAAAATCATCCGAATGGAGATAGGGCGGGTGGGCGGGGCTTACATTTTGTCTTTTTTTTTCTTAATATCATAAATATTACAATAAGAAACTTAAAATATGGTTAAAATGGTAAATTCTTCTAGACAAATATGAATCTTGGAATTAAGCCCCGCTCCTCGATCTGACAACGAATGAAAAAGTAATCACAATTGAAAATTGAGATGGGGGCCGGTGTGGGTGGGGCCTAATCTTTGGCTTTATTTTTTCTTAAAATACGTAGTATTCTTTGAACAACACGATATTCAAAAATATGTTTTTAATTTCTCGTATAGGAATAAAGATTTTGCAGTTAAGCCCCGCCTTCTTAGCTCACGACAAATAAAAAAAATCATCACAAATGAGATAGGGCGGGTGGGCGGGGCTACATTTTTTTCGGGAATTTGTACGTCAACAGCAAGTTTATAAATCCCACTATACACACGTCTCGTATGTATCATGTAGGTGGGGGTTCAAATAAATTTGGACTTTGTCTTTTTTTAAAGAAAAAATATGATGACGTCGCTTTTATTTAATGTTATTACGTTTATAATTTGCGAATAACATTAAAACCTCGTTAAAACTTAATCCATTGTTTAAATTTCTGACAATAGACGTATCTTAGTAAAAAGATAAAAACAGCGTGTAGTCGAACAAACTCCCGTCTCCCAAATTATTTTAAATAACAAAAGTAAACAGAAAAAATCTGGTGTCATAAATGCGAAATCCTCAGAATCAATGTTAAGTACGCCTTATCATTAAATAAATTAATTATATTTTCCGTCTAGTCCCAACACGATTAGACAATATAACCCCAAAAAATGAAAAAAAAAAAACACAAATTTAACCCACTTATTTCGTTTTTATATAAAACAAATACAGTTCATTTGGGCAACAGTTCAGTTTTTTGCATTTTTTCCTTCTCGTCTTCCTCCCGATCCTTCAAATGCTGTCGGTATAACCAACTAAAAACAAGAAAATACCGTCAAGGACTCCACTCCTATTCCAAACTTACAAGAAAATAAAGACAGCAGGTGTCGTCAGACACCCTCCCAGCAGAAAGAATGCCCCTGGAAGAAACCGAATCGTGGCTTTGTACATAAGATTGTACATCGGTCCGTAAATCAGCGGCATCAGAGCTTCCGCAACCCCAAACAAAGAGTTAATCTTCCCCAGTTCGTCCGGCGGTACCATTTTAGATATAATGGACCTCATGGCAATGAAAGACGTACCGTTCAAGGCCTCAAGGATCGCTCCTACAACACGAAAACGCTGGTGGTACCACTCCAGGAAAACCGGTACTCACCGATGTAGAAGATGGTACTGGACGGCGCGAACGCGTACACTATAGAAGCCAGAATCTTGCTCATGTTGGAGACCATCCCCAAGACCGCGTCGTCGACTTTGAGGAACTTGGTGAAGAACATGAGCGAGAAGATGGTACCCGCGACGTGGGCGACGAAGTGGAAGGTCGAGTAGAGGCTGTAGTCGATCTCGTTCCAGCCGAACCTGTACCGGACGAAGAGGTACATCACGTTCATTTCGCCATGCATGGGTCCGATGATGACCATGACCAAGACCATGATGGTACAGATGCGTTTCTTGCGGCCGCGGGGGCCGTCCTTGAAGGCGACTCTGAACGTGTCGCGGATGTGCTTCAAGTCGAAGAAGTCTTTGACAAAATTGACGTTTTTTTTCTCGGTGATGAGTTCTTCCTTCTTGGGGATTTCTTTGACTCGGGTGACGCCATAAGTGAGGCCTGTGAAGTACATGACGAGGGCTAGGGAGAAGACTCCGTAGAAGCCGAATTTCTTGTAGAGGATGCCGCTCAAGGCTATGCCGATGGTGACGCTGACGTTGGAGAAGAGGTTGACGGCTCCGATGCGCAGGGTTCGCGTTTCCACGCTGGAAATGCTGCTGATGTAG